AATAATATAATATTATAAAGACGATAGTCTCAAGAAACAAGTAAATGCTAATATACTAATAAAATGTTTATTTTCTACACCACAGAATACAAAATTAGTACAATAGATGAATAATAGTGTTTACAGAAATACATTGATGATGTGGAGACTGAAGCCTGTCTCCAGGCTTCCAAACTACCAGGAAAGGTCACAGTAATACAAACATAGATACTATTAGATGGCAATGTTAATACCAAACTTCATTAATCCACGTTTCATCTTGATAATATTTAAAGCGATACTTCCCTACGATACTGATTATTATTTTTTTTGTAAAGATTGATGACGCCATAAAATTATGTCAATTAATGCACTGCGGCCTTTGAAAGAACCGAAAAAGTAATAAATGGTGTAGGTAACTATGAATTGAAATTATAACACCACTTGGCAAGCATCATTATTGTTACGAACTTGGGGTCCGTGACAATTGAATTACCGAAATTGTCACAACCAATTACAACTTAAAACACACTAATAATAAAACATTTTAGTTCGCAGTTAAATCGTTTCGAACTATTCGCTTGTATCGCCAGTTCAATACTGACTCGGTCGCGGTCCTTACCGGCCTTATATTATAGGGCCTCTTCTGCTGAAACATTTAGAATGTTCAAGTACATACCGGTCCTGACTGACAGTACAGTCTGCGTTGTAGCATGTTGCGATTGACAGCTCACGCATATTAAATTTCATATTTTTTTAAATAAATTTTCATATAGATACTGTAGTACTTCATGGATGGGTGCCGCCCACTTACGATGATGATGTGCCACGCTAAACTATGCCATGCCATAACGAACAACCACATACTATCAAAAATCAGTTTTGAAATAAATCGAATATATGAAAATCACAAAATATGTATTGAAACTGGAACTAGTCGTTCACATAATTCTGGTTTACGAAAAAAAAAACGCACATAGACGATATGCTGTGTTTCCGATACATGGACGATACGTTCGTTGGTCACCTCCGGCAAAAAATAATTATAAAGCAAATTGGTCATTGAGTCAAAAAGACTAATGGCGGTCAAAATAGCTACAAAAGGCTATTTTTATTTTTGTTTCATTTTATTTGTACTGAAAATTACTAATGCTGGCAGCCATTTTATTTGTTTAAATGTCAATATGAATGTTGCAAACAACATGACATAGAAGATGATTTTTATTATCAAATTAATACATAGTATGATCTATAACATTGGAGTGTCTGTTTGTAATATCAAAATAACAGCCTTTTACTAAATGTATATGAAAGTATATACGGTATTTATAACAAAAAGACAAAAACGATTTTTAAAGTGTTTGTCTGTCAGTTTATTCCGGCTTGTAGCTGGCGCCGGCAGATGGCTTATGTTATAAGGAGTAACACAGGCTACTTTTATTTTAGAAGAAGAATTAGGATTTCGCGCAAAAATATTAAAACCCATGAAATCCAATCGTAATAAATACCACGCGTGCAAAGTCGTGGGAACAGCTATTGTGTAACTATTATGGCCGTGTAGCTCGAATGGTTAGCGCTCGTTGTAAATTTCACTGTACGCAAGCAACCCGCGTTAGATTCCGCCGGCTCCAATGAAATTGTTATTTTCAATTTTAAGTGCTGATTTACCACGTGCCTGGCGGTGAAGGAAAACATCTACAAAAAAATTATTCGATGACATGTGTAGTTCGCCAACACGCATTGGGGCAGCGCGGCAGACACTTAATTGCCCTAAAACCCTCTCAGAAATGAAGAGAGGCCTGTGCCCAGCAGTGGGACGTATATAGGCTGTAACTTTATGTCATAATTTGTATTAAACTTTAACTTTATTTTAAACGCATTGTCATTGTCATTTTATAAAGAAATATATATTTCGGTTTTAATTTTTATATCGATAGCTAATCGTTAAGTTTTGCTTTGCTTCGTGTATAATTTTTAAAATCGATTTAACATTGTTCCATCTCTACACACGCCAAACTGTAAGCTATCACCCGCACCATGCTATGGCGCAAAGACTATAGGTGTAGAAAGTTCTAGTATGAAATTTTCTAGAAAGCTCTCTCCTAGTTCTGCTACTCGATACTAGATGGCGCTAGTGGTAATTCGCCATCTACCAGGCATTAATTATGGCACGCAACCATTATAATACTTGCGAATGATATTTAAAAATATGTAATAAACAAAATTAGCATTGCCTTGTTCAGGGATGGTGATTCGTTTCTATAAAAGAATTGATATATTTTTGACGTATAATCGAAAGAGTGAAATCGTCCAAGTTATCTCTGAAATTTGATTTAGGGCCAGGTATTTTCGGAAAGTTGAAAGATGCATTCTCCTGTGCTCCTTCAGCACCCTGTAGATTGAGGATCTGTATATGTTAAGCCTTTTGGCAGTTTTTAAAACACATTTTTTTTTGATGTCTTGGTTGGAGATTCGTTTTTGTTTTCAGTATGTACATATTTGTAAATGTTTATTTTAAAAGAGGGTTTAGATTGCTGTTTTACCGTGTACGAGAACAACACTGATGGGGTCCGTCGAACCATGTGAGTATGTACGGCCACACGACGCGCTTCCTGTATAAACGGGTTTTCCATTAGTCGGATCACGCAAAGCGTCGCATGGTCAGCTTTCACTGCCAGTGTATAGCGCGTCGTGCGGCTGTGTGTAGTTATGTAAATTTTAAAAATACGCTTTGGAATAGAAAACTTTAAAGCTAATTGTCTAATAAAGATACGGGTCAATAAACCGGTATCATAGGTTGTGTATCGTACATTGTTTGCATACAATTTAGTCTTACAGACATTTTAGTCGCAGAGATAAAAAAACAGACTTTAATATTCCGTTTGCACATGGTTTTATACCCAATAACAGAAATGTCGAATATTCTAGATCAATCTGGATCATTCTTATATTCCCCTTTCTCAATTAGAAGACACTAGGAACACTCGCGATTAACACCATGTCCAAAGAAGAAAAATCTTATTTGCGCGTAGACGTAAAGCCCACACATTTTATAAAATAGGAGGGATTTTTATAAAATGTGTGGGCCTTACTTTTTTATTCAAACATGGGGCCTGATTTCCCATACATGGATGTAATGCCATGCCAAGCTTCAGGAACAAGTTTCGTGCTATTATTGCGAAAATGTGTAAAAAATTTGGAGACCGAATTTCTTCTTTCGAGACTATATTTATAAATAACTTGCACTAGGAAATTATAATTGCGATGGATAGTAAATACTGTGACGACGCTGTGTATATCGATTTTGCAAAATCTTTGGACAAATTTATCACAATACTTTCCTATTTCAACTCCTAGAAGTTCTATGGGATATATACGGACTTTGTATTTTTATGCTCGATTAAATCCTTTCAGTTGAAGATCGAAGTGTTAATGTGTAATTCAGTCAGGTTTTACATCACAATGTAAGCATATCCAGAGTGGCACAAGGGATCCATGTGGGTTCTTTTATATTTTTTGTACTTAAATAACAGTACAAAATATAAGATAATTCAAGATATTGGCAATACGAAGGATTACGAGTAATTTCGAAACGAATTAATTAGTTTAAATAATTTTTGTAAGGCCGTGTAGCGGTAGCCTAAGAAAATCCCAACCCCTCGTGGATAGCGAAATATAAAATCAATTTGGTTTCACAAGGGGGTCTCGCTCGACGACTGGCGCAGGTGTCGAGCTTATGTAATATATTTTTAATACCTGGGAGAGTTCACTAAAATCATATTTAATAACAGAATTCAAAGTCGTTATCAATGGTAAAGGTACCTCCGGATCAGTAGTATCAATGGGCGTTCCTTGGAGCTCGATTCTTGGCCCATTCTTGTACTTAGTCTATATTAATGACTTACCTTATCTTGTAGGGGACAATCACGATACAGTATTATTTGCTGATGATACCTCTTTAATTTTCAGACTCAATCGACAGTCAATTAATTTTGATAATGTAAATAATGCTCCATAGAAACTAGTACATTGATTTAACGCTAATAATTTTCTCTTAAATGACAATAAGACACAATGGAATAAATTTACAATACCTAATGTTAAACATTCAAATACCAACGTGCTCTTAAATTGGGAGGAGTTGAGTCTTGTGGATAGCACTGTTTTTCTTGGTATTACTATTGACGCAAAGCTTTAATGGGACCCCCATATATCTAAATTAGCATGCAGACTTAGTTCTGCAGCGTATGCTGTAAGAAAGATTAGAAGTCTAACCAATGTTGAGACAGCTAGATTAGTTTATTTTAGTTATCTTCATAGCGTATGTCTTATGAAATCTTTTATGGGGTAATGCGACTGACATTGAAGTCATATTTGTTTTGCAAAAGAGAGCCGTACGGGCAATTTATAACTTAAATTCTAAAGAATCCCTTGGAGAAAAAATTAATGAAATAAACATATTAACTTTGGAGTCGCAATATATTTATGAAAATGTAATGTATGTACATAAAAACATAAATAGCTTTCATAAGAATAATGATGTTCATACTTTAAACACTAGGAACAAACATAAGCTTGTAATACCAGTTACTAGACTCCACAGAATTAGTAATTCATTTATGGGGCAATGTATATGCTTTTACAACAAAATCCCAGAAAATGTACAAAATTTATCATTAAATAAATCTAAATGTTTTATTAAAGAAAAATTGTACCAAAAGGGTTATTATAATATAAATGAGTACATAAATGATAATAACCCCTGGGAATGAGGTGATCGCTACCATGCTGGTTCTTTAAATATTCATACAAAAATTGTACAAAATAAATTCATTGTAAATTGAAATATGTTTAAAAAAAAGTCCTGCTGCGTTTCTTGCTGGTTCTTCCCAGGACAGAGGTTTTTTGCGAACCAGTGGTAAATAAAAAAATGACTCGATAAGTATTATACACTAATCTATATTGAATATAAATCATTCATTTCATTTCATTCCATATGAATGTTGTGTGTTCAATCGCAGGAGATGGGCGGCGGGCACGCGGGCGCGGTGTGGTGCTGCAAGATGAGCGTGTGTGGCCGCCTGCTGGCCACCGCGGGGCAGGACCGGCTGCTGCGCGTGTGGGTCACGCGGGACGCGTACCACATGTTCCAGGTGCGTGCCTCACTACACACGTACGTACCATATGTACACACGTACACACGCCTGCTGGCCACCGCGGGGCAGGACCGGCTGCTGCGAGTGTGGGTCACGCGGGACGCGTACCACATGTTCCAGGTGCGTGCCTCACTACACACGTACGTACCATATGTACACACGTACACACGCCTGCTGGCCACCGCGGGGCAGGACCGGCTGCTGCGAGTGTGGGTCACGCGGGACGCGTACCACATGTTCCAGGTGCGTGCCTCACTACACACGTACGTACCATATGTACACACGTACACACGACTGCTGGCCACCGCGGGACAGGACCGGCTGCTGCGAGTGTGGGTCACGCGGGACGCGTACCATATGTTCCAGGTGCGTGCCTCACTACACACGTACATACCATATGTACACACGTACACACGCCTGCTGGCAACCGCGGGGCGGGACCGGCTGCTTCGCGTGTGGCTCACGCGGGACGCGTACCATATGTACCTGCTGCCTATATATATATATATATATATATATATATAGTATATATATATAATATTATGTAACACATTAAATAAATAAAATTAAGCATAAGTATTGAATAAAATTATCTTAAGGCGCTACTCCTCACGAACGACCTTGAGCGTTCGGTTCTATACATTCCACGCGATCTCGCTACAATATATTACGTAAGAAATACGCACATATTTTAAAATACTTTCTTTATAAAATCGAATTTAGTCCTTTAGAAAAAATAAATAAGATCAAAATGTTCATTAATAAATTGCCTATCCATTAGTGTCAATCATAAAATAAAATAATGCTTTTTTGATGAGGAGACAGTGGCGAAGCCTCCATAGAAGCCGAAAAGCCGGATTTGCCTTTGACTGAATCAATCAATAACATCAGCTAATAAAATAACTCGTAAACTGTTTCAAATTATTTCAAATTTCCCCCGCACTCCACTGTTCGACACAGGTCGACTGATGACCTCGTATTGCCTTAGCGATACTGCTGCTGTCATAAAAAATGAGTTTTAATAGAGCGATTAGTGGTCTCTCTCGCTCGCGTGGTCTTTTTACGGGGCTTTCGAGAAGACGGTCGCTCTCTTTCTAACCTATGGCAAAATGTTCTATAATGAAATATGACTACGATTGTATATACAGCAATTAGTATAGAGAGTTAAAGCCAGGCTTTAGGAATGAAGTTGTCAAAAGCGGAGGCGCGCGGGCAATACGTTTGCAAGTTCATTTCACATTAAAATGTTTATTTACTCTTGTGTGTTTAGCTTAAGCAATTTCATATTGCGAGTTGAAAGTTTAGGCTTTTTTAAAGATTTTTAGTGGAAATGAAGGATAATAGTGTTCCTTGTGATGAATTGAAGTGTGTTAAAGTGCTAATCGGAGAGGAAAAGTAAAATCTTTAAACTTTGTTGAGACAATACACAAGGTCAAGAGTGTACTAGTATTTCAGACTTATCAATTGTCGTAATTAAAAAACAGTTATTGGTACAATTAAAACGTTCACCAACATTTCACGCGGACGTAATTAAATCTTTCCTTAAGAAAGAGAAATGATTCCATTTAGAATGTAAATTATTTTTTTTTAATTTTGTACATAGTTTGTTTGTACTTTGTTCATGTTTTACTTTTGTTCATGTATTGTATTGTATGTAAATATTTTTTTCTTTCGCTCAAACAAACCCAAACGGCTTTCTTAAAAGCCATCGAAGCTATGCAATTGCGGATATGTCATACAATCTATCTAGCAGTAGTATGCCTTCTGTGTCCTTTGTTAAACACGTCCTTGACAGCACTGGATATGAAACTGATGAGTGGAGACAGATCAAGATTGGTGTATTTTTATAAAACTGCTAAAAACAACAATCTATATTTTTATCAATTTATATCTTGGGCTTGCCCTAGTTTGGAGCTCTAGCTTCGCCACTGTGAGGAGATGCACGTTATCAATAATTATTTCGCATTTATGTGGTTTAGTTGTAGGCAGATTCATCAAGTATTTACTCCTTTAAAAAAATGTAATTGGCTAATATGGAATCAAGATTATGTAGAAATGTAGTAGATTTTTATTAGTTGATATATTTTAATAACAAGTAGATAGCTCCTAAAAACCTCACAAATAACGACTTGCGCGGCATTTTGCTCAAACACGCACCTTAATATACCAATCCATGATTTCATAACTTAAGGCCATCTAGCGTCTATATTACTTACTCCCTTGAGAGTCAATCAAGTTTTGTTCGATAAAATGACTACCTATAGAATTAATTAAACGTGGTTAACGTGGTGGAGCTATGCTGCAGTTATATTGTGGTTGCAGCACGAATGGGTCGGCTCGACCGGAGTAGAACCACGCTCTCACAGAATACCAGCGTGAAATAGCAGCTTAATGCTGCTGTGTTTTATATGGTGAGTGTAGAGAACCGAAGAGCCTTTTTACTGGAAACGAGATATGCCATCTTAGTCCTCGTGGGTGACAACGCATCTGTTTTTGATTCGTAATCCAGGATAGATGTAGATGTCTATGGGCCACAGCAACCACTTACCATCAGGTGGATTATGTGCCCGTTTGTCACCCTTATTATATGTATTTAAAAGTAGATAGCGCTTTTACAAAGCGGTTTTACTCGAAAGAAAATATTCTTTTGATTTAATACATAATAAATAAGTCAAAAAAATAAGGATTTTAATTATTTACTATAAAATTAAACTTTTATCTATTTTATGCCGCACTTGTGATTAGTGATCGTATGAAATAAATTATTTACCGTGCAATATTCTTATTTTATATGTCATTTCATTAGAGGGCGTTTTCCAAAAAAAGTTGTACCTTGAAAAAAGTCAGTGTCCGGCCACTTTCAGAATAAATTATCAAATATTATAAAAGTTTTTATTACATATCATTTATTTTAATAATAAAGTAACATATAGTCTCATAAATCAAATAAAAATAAGGTCTGAATCTGTTATAAATCAAAAATAAAATCAAAATAAGTAAAATGGGGTCGATGTTTTTGGTATGTCCCACATCTACTGTGTCAACTTCAGAGTCACATAATACGGTCGTGTTATATTATTATTCAAACTTTTTGCATTTGACTGGTCATTTATGAACGTAACTTCAATTTTAAACCTGAAATGTACATGTTACGGTTGAAAATTATTTTAAAATACCAGATTTTGTGTTGTCCTGCAAAATCGCGTATGATGGAATTTCCGCGTACGTGACCGCATTTTCAACGACTTCCAACAAAAAATACCACCAATTCAATACATTTTCCCAAATATAGCAACATTATTAGTCTATGGTGGCTGCTGTATTTAATTTTTGACAGCCAGTTCGCCAACAAAACGTAATCGAAGTGGTCGTCTCGACTCATGTAAAAAAAATAATTCCACAAACGATACTGCTTTTCTCCAGGTAACGTATTCATGTGTATTTCATTCTATTTTCTATTAAACATGTTAATTTATTGTTATTTGAAATGTTAAGTTATATTGAACAAAAGTTTGATAACTAATTAGTAAATTCATTTGAAAATTTTATTGGCATGGTTACGTTACCTCCATTAGCGCTACTATCGCATGAATGGAACTCAAAAGTGACGTAATGGAATCCTAAAGGTCGGTTCATAAAGTCATTGTTTTAATTAGTGTTCTAAAGTCTAAATAAATTAAGTATGATTAAAATAATAATAAAATGCCTTGAATTTTTTAAATGAATTGCTTATTACTTAATTTCGTGTGTAAATCAAACAAGATTTTTCGACTAGATATTTCAGCTCAAAACACTCCATTCAGGATAACATTAGAAAAATAACAGTGAAATAACGATAGTTATTACGTTATATTGTTGAAATGGCTGCATTTAGTGTTTAATTTTAATGGTATCCTGAATGAAAATTTTTTTGTTTTTTGCGTGAAAATATATTTGATAAACAGTTATCACATTTATTTTGACAAATATTTCACGCAACGCTTTTTGTAAATCTATATAAATTTTTTCACAAAAATTTGAGATTTTTCGTACGGGGTACATTATGATAACTCACTATTGATTTTAGGTTTAAATATGCCCTTGACGGCTGCAGAAAAGTCAAAACGGTACCGAGAAAAAATCAAACAAAACCCGGAAAAATATGAAGAATTTAAGAAGAAGGAATTACGAAGACAAAAAAAAGCACCAAAAGAGGATTAAAAAGCTCACTGAGGACGAGAAAATGGAAAAAAGAAAACTCTGGAGAGAACAAAAACGAAAACAAAAACACTCAACCGAATCCACAATCAGGGCAATCACGTGACGCATCCAATAATTCAGCTCCACATTCATTGAAAATTAGGTACTGAAAATTGTTAAATAACTACAAAAAGGCTTTCAAGACGATTCGTCAATATAATACAACAACACAGACTCTGAGAAAGAAATTACGCCGAATGAAAAAAAAAACATGAAACCGAATTTGATTTATTGAACACAGAAAACGATAAATTGAAAGCAAGACAAGAAATAATGGAAATATCAATTCGTAGTACGTACAGGAATTGTAAGAAAAATAAAGAAAAACAATTAGTTAAAAACGTGATTAGGAAACAGGCGCATATATTGTAAAAAGCACCTGAAAGTAAGATTTTAGGTCTTAAAGAAAGAATCAGGAAAAGGATTAATTTACAACGACCAATAAATAAGAAGACTCAGGAAGAAATAGAACTTTTTTATTTGAGAGACTACATAAGTAAAAGCACAGCTGGTAAGAAGGAAACCAGGTCCAAAGACAAACAAAAAGCACAAATAAGATACTTAGTCGACACACTGAAAAACGTATACGAAATTTATAAAAAAGACGGTGGGTCATGCGGCTTCACCACCTTTTACAGATACAAGCCTTATTATGTACTGTCTCCAAGTATCAATAATAGAGAAACCTGCTTATGTATTAAGCACAGTAACTTTGAGTACATGTTTAATGCATTGAAGTGTAAAGATGTCATAACTTACAAGAATATAAAGGAGCTCTTGAACATCGTTGCATGTGATATTACGCGTTATGACTGCATGTACAATAAATGTAAAGATTGTAAGAGTATTTCATATGATGAACAAAACCTCGATTCTGCTATATCATGGTTCAAATGGGCTAGGGTAAACCATGAATATGAAATATCTGGCAAAGTATTTACAACTAAAAAGACCACCAAACAACAAGTAAAAGGAACTGTACTTTCATCACCAACTTTCAGAACGAGCTACCGGCGTTTAAAACTCATTTCTTTTGGATTGAACAACAACGTCAATACAGAAATTGTATCAAGAACATGTAAGATGACGAGATACTCATTTTATGCGACTTTTCAGAGAATTTTGAATGTAAATATAGTGAAGAAGTCCAATCAATGCACTTTGGTGCCTCCAAAAACACGATCACTTTACATTGTGATGTAATTTTTTGGAAAAATCTATCCCAATCATTCGTATCTGTTTCAGATAACAATTGCCATGAGCCTTTTGTTATACAAAGAATGGTAAAATGTAATGCATGTAAAAATTGGGTTTGCCTGATATGTAGCGGAACAACCTTTTCAACCTTTGTTCGATTTGTCTTGGGACTGATGAATAGTTTTTTGTTACAGTTTAAGACCGTTTACAACGTACGGCATTTCATACAAACTTTCAAGTCTTTATATTTCGAAATAAATGAACCGATTTTAATGAAACTTCCTATGCATAAGCAGGATATATAGGTCCAAAAAGTTAATGAGAACTATTTCGAAAAATAATGTTACAGCTAGATTCAGCTGATTTTAAATTTTCCATAGAAACAGATATTTCCAATTATCTTGTTTTAAATAAGACATTTCAAAAATGTTCTTTACTAACTTTTTAGAACTATGTGTCCTGCTTATGCGTGTGAAGTTTCATTAAAATCGGTACATGCATTTCGAAAACAAGGACTTGAAAGTTTGTATGAAATGCCGTACGTTTTAAACGCTCTTAAATGACATACTAGTAATATTATGTTTAATACGATAAGTACAAGTTACCATAATTGTTGTCATAATTGAGAGTCATATAGACGTTGCCTTATAGTTCCTAAACGTTATTTTCGAATTACATTAACGTCACTGTCCTATTATTACTGTGATTTATTTTCTAAGACTAATTAATAGATCTCAAAGAAATTTGACTGTTTTTGTTCAATATAGCTTACTATAAATTTTTAATTTGATATAATTAAACTTTTGAAAGAATATTTCTCATATTTGACGTTCTAGGATGAAAAAAATATAGTACAAAGTACCCAAAAGTAGCGTAAGGAATATCTTTGTTAAAACATTTTTTGATTAGATCTAATATGCTGAATTATCAATATTTTTTAGAAAACAGATTGTGTTTATTTTTCATAAATAAAGTTAAAAATACTGAACTTCTTTTAGTTTTCATGAAAACTATTTTAAAATTAGTAACGTAATGGAATTTCTTGAGAACATAATTTAATTAAAATTGTAATTATTTTCAAAATTCATTATTATTTTCTTAAAAAAATACTATTTTCATACTGCTCATACTATATTTTATCAATTTAATTACATTTTGAAGCTAAATGTTAAAACTCATATAAGTGGAATTCTAACTACGTCACCGACAATTTTTTTTGAAAAACGCCCTAGAACGTTTTTTTTTCATAATCTGCACAAGCTTCATATGAAAGATTTATAATGCAGTGATAAACTGTTAGCTTAATAAGTTTACCTGTTGAGATGGTAGATGTAAAAAAAGTAGATACAGCAACTACGGGATGGTATACCGCATGTGAACGTCTACAACCAACTTTCCACAAAATTATAAGATCCAAATTTTTAATAAAAAATAATTATAAAAAATATTCAAATTTTTTTGTGTGGTGAGTGACGAGAACTGGAGACCCTTGGTAATTTGGCATTTCATCTGAGTTTTTAAAGGTGTCGAAATCACGTACAATAAAATAGCAGAATAATGCTGCTGCGTTTCTTATGGTAAGTGATGAGGAGCAGGTAACTTTTTTATAGGATAAAGGTGACAAACGAGCACACAATCCACCTGATGGTAAGTGGACGCTGTGGCCCATAGACATCTTCATTTATCCTCAATTAAGAATCAAAACGCAGATGCGTTGTCACCCCTGAGGACTAAGATGGAATGCCTCGTTTCCAGTAAAACGGGTCTCCGGATCTCTACACTCACCATACGAAATACAGCAGTATTTAGCTGCTATTTTACGCTGGAATTCTGTGAGAGCATAGTTAAGCTGCTATTTCACTTTATTTATTTTGTGAGAGTGTGGTCCTTCCCCGGTCGAGCCGACCTGTTCGTGCTACAACTATGCGATTAATATAGCTGCTGCATTGCTCTACTACGTTCAAAAGTTGATATCTGATCCAAGTCCTCAGGGAGTATTAACGCATTTGCATTTTGACTTTTGCTCGTGGATTGTAGGCATTCACAAAACCATCAGGTGGATTTTCCATCTATTACAGCCTATAAAAGTGCAGAGTTAAACAGAGGCCTGCCCATAGATTTCCTCATACTGGATATTTTGTCATAGTTTCCACGCTTTGTAGGCGGGTTGGTAACCGCAGTTTTTTATTATTTTGAGTTGGTATCAGAAAGATGATGCTGCCCATCTCCAGTTTCAATTTCCTATGAACCTTTCATCATATAATTGACTTATCGCGTGGTTCCGTGTAGGAGATGCGCACGAAGTACAACGCGGAGAAGAAGTCGTCGCCCACGCCGTCGCAGGAGTCGCTGTCGCCACTGGCCTCGCACGACGCCGCTTCCCCACCGCTGGGACCGTCAGCCCCCTTCTGGCCCACGCCCTTCGCCGTGTACGCGGGCCACACATCCGACCTGCTGGACGTGTCCTGGTCCAAGAACTACTTCGTGCTGTCGTCTTCCATGGACAAGACGGTGCGGCTGTGGCACATCTCGCGCGGGGAGTGCCTGTGCTGCTTCCAGCACATCGACTTTGTCACCGCCATCGTCTTTCATCCTCGAGACGACCGCTACTTCCTCTCTGGCAGCCTCGATGGGAAACTCCGTTTATGGAACATCCCCGATAAGAAGGTCAGTGTTCCGTCCTCTATGTCTAGTTTTATCTACGGGCTTATAATTTGCTGTTCACCGAATGTCGCTAGTTATGAAGCGTTGGTGAAGTTATTTGTTTTACAGTGTAACTCAGTGAAAAGTTGCATTTCAATATAAATTTTTCAGTATCTAGTGTATACCCTTATAAAAAACAATGCATCAGTGATTGCTCTTTAATTTTTTTTGCACATTTTAATACATTTGTTTAATTCTCTTACTTTTATGAATATTCATAGTTTATATATTTTAATCAAATGAATAGAAACAGAAACAGAAACAGAAACTTTTTTATTCAATGTAGACTATAAACAATACTTATTGAAAGTCACTTTTTCATTTACCACTGGTTCGCAAAAAAAAACCTCTGTCCCGGGAAGAACCAGCAAGAAACCCAGCGGGACTATTTTTTTTCAATCATAGCTTACAATCATGTTTACAATTAACAACACAAGACAAATTAGAAATAGCTATCGTCCATAAGTTCCTTAATATTATAATAACCCTTTTTATACAAACTTAGTTTAATAACATTTTTGAACTTTGTGTATGACAAATTTTGTATATTTTCTGGGATTTTGTTGTAAAAGCGTTTACATCTCGACTCGGTGGAGTCGAGTAACTGGCACTACTAGCTTGTGTCTGTTCCTTATATTTACAGGATGAATATCACTTATGTTTTCAAAACTACTTTTATTTTTGTGTACGTACATTACATTTTCATAAATGTATTGAGAGGCCAGAGTTCACATATTAATTTCCTTAAATTTTTGTCTCGGTGTCTCTTTTGGTTTTAAATTATATATTGCTCTAATGGCCCCTCTTCTTCAGTGTCAGTCGCGTGTCCCCATAGCAAAATACCATACGACATAATGCTATGGAAATAACTAAACTATTCTAGCTGTTTCAACACTGGTAAGAGTTATAATCTTTTTTACAGCAATGTTACAGAACTAAGTCTGTTAGCTAGTTTCGATATATGGGGGAGCCATTGAAGCTTTGCGTCCAGTGTGATTCCAAGAAAAATGGTGGTATCAACAAGACTCAGTTCCTCCCCATTTAGAATTACATTAGTATTAACATGTTTGACATTACGAGTTACGAATCTCATACATTTAGTTTTAGTTCCATTTAAATGCAAATTATTAACATTAAACCAATTGACTACCTTAGCTATAGCATTATTTACTTCGTCGTAATTTAATAACTGTCGTTTTAAATTGAAAATTAATGAAGTATCATCAGCAAATAATACTATATCATGGTTATCCCTTACTATGTAAGGTGAGTCATTAATATATATAATAAACAGAAAGGGGCCGAGAATTGAGCCCTGAGGCAAGCCCATTTGTACAATCGACCTGAAAGAAATACTATTAATGACAACTTTTTGCGTTCTGTCACTTAAATATGAAATAATTAACTTAAGAGCATCACTTCTTACACCGTAGTATTGAAGTCTCTTGATTAATGTTTCATGTTGAACACAATCGAAGGCTTTGGATAGGTCACAGAATACACCCAAAGCATCCTGTAAATTCTCCCATGCATTAAATATTTATTTAATCAGCTCAACACCAGGATCAGTTGTCGAGCGACCCCGTGTGAAACCAAATTGATTTTTATGAAGTAAATTATTTACATAAAAAATTAACATTTGATCAAGAATAATTTTTTCAATAATTTAACAGAAATAGGTCTAAAATTAGCGGGGTGCAATGTACTACCAGATTTAAATAAAGGTATTACTTTAATATGCTTCATTAAATCAGGAAACAAACCAGATTCGATACTAGTATTAAAAATAAAAGATAGTTGAGGTGCGATTGTATCTATTATAGACGCAATAATTTTAACGGAGCTCCCCCGCAGATCGGCAGTTCTCTTAATATCAATAGTCTTAAAATATTTTACAATATCTTTTGATGACACTTTATGAAATGTAAAATTCTTTGTACACACATTTACATTTTGTTTAAGTAATAATTCGGCGATGGCAGGAGTGACTTAGTGGTTAAGATCTGAATATTAGTAAAATATTTCTCAAAAACCATTGCAACGTCCTGATCTGATTTAGTTAATTTATTCTTAAAACTTCACTGGTAGTATGAATTGCGAGAGTTGTTCTTACCAATTTCACTATTAGTTATACTCCATGTCATTTTAATTTTATTAGAAGCAGTCTTTATTTCGTTTCTCAAATACAATGACTTGGCTATGGAGCACACTCTTTTAAATATTTTGGAATATTTTTTTTACATATTCCGTAAATTCGACGCTAGGATTATATGACCTTTCATTTTCAAGTTTCAAGTTCATATAACTTTTATCTATTCTTATGGACTCCTACTATCGCCCATTCATTAAATGCCTTACGATTGTTCAAGGAGAATGTTTTAGAAGTAAACGTATTATTAAATTCATTGCAAATAAGCTTAAATAATGTTCCGTACAAAAAATCTGGATTATTCACGGAAGTTTTTTTACTATGTTGCTTCTAAACTTCTCCAAGCGATGTGTATTTACTGGAACAAACACTACTTTTTTATCTACTTGCTTTTTGTGAACATAAGGTAATGAAACTAATATAAAATAAAACTAATGTTTCAGAAAGAAACGTAACTTTTATAACAATTTAACTTCTCCGTCGCGAAATCTGTCAAATATTTCTATAAAGTAGCGCCGCCCTGGTGGTAGATTTTTTTACGGAAGCCCTCATCCTTCATATTTAAGTTGGAATGATTCGTGTCACAATAAACTTAAGGTTTTACACTTTACATAACAAGGCCTACGGCTGTGTCCTCTGGACGAAATTTGTGCATTTTAATAAAATCTTTTTTTATTTTAATATAGTATAGTACTTTCAATTTTTAATACTTGATTATGATTTCTTCATGACCACTTCTGACCACATCCTCAAGCTCGTTAGCCATAGCTTAACTGCATTTCTGTGCTGTCTTATTTTATGTGCCTTTAAAACTCCCTTGGTGACTTTTTCCAGGTGGCGGTGTGGAATGAAGTGGACGGCAAAACCAAACTAATAACAGCTGCCAACTTCTGTCAGAACGGCAAATTCGCCGTGGTCGGCACGTACGACGGCAGATGCATCTTCTACACCACGGACCAGCTCAAGTACCATACGCAGATCGACGTGAGGTCGACCCGCGGAAAGAACTCCACTGGGCGGAAGATCAGCGGGATCGAACCGATGCCCAACGACGATAAAATCTTGGTGACTTCTAACGATAGCCGCATACGACTCTACGATCTTCGGGACCTGAACCTGTCCTGCAAGTACAAGGGCTACGTCAACGTGTCCAGCCAGATCAAGGCGTCCTTCTCCCATGACGGAAAGTACATCGTGAGCGGGTCGGAGAACCAGTGCATATACATCTGGAAGACTTACCACGACTACTCCAAGTTCACGTCGGTGCGGAGGGATAGGAACGATTTCTGGGAGGGGATCAAAGCTCACAACGCTGTGGTCACTTGTGCCGTGTTCGCTCCCAACCCGGACTACATGATCCGCATGATCGCTGAGAGGGAGGCTGAAGCCAACATGGCAAATAAGACTCCAGAGGAGAGGGAAGAGGCGGTAAGTTATTTTTGTTTCTTTCGTATTAGATTTTTTTAAGTCTACTATTGAGCTTAATTTTTTCCATTGGAAAAGAATTTTTTATCAGGTTTCCCTCTTAAGTATGAAAAGCACTTCCAAATTCCATTAGAGTTCTTCAATTACATTCTAAAAAATGGTTCCGCCTTTCGGGACGTTTCCGGTTAAGGTATCGCTTAAGATATTGGTTCTAAAAGTTCGAAAATTTTCAAGCTCTCAGGCAAGTCTTCATGGTATTTGTACTTTATCTTTATTTTTAAATTTTTACTTCAATCATAACAGAATATTTTTTACTGTTTGTCTTTTTATGTCTAACATTAATTTTTAAATTCTTACCTAATACTTCTCCTTAATTTAGAATTCAGAGGCTTCATAGGCTATTTGTAATATATATATATATATATATATATATATATATATATATATATATATATATATATATATAAATAATGTAAATAAAGATTATTATTATTATTTGGGTTACTTATAAACTATTCTCATCCGGTCGGTATGTATGAAAACATTTTAGCCATTCCCCATTAGGTGACGCTACTAAATACAAGATAAAATCCGTTTTAGGCACGTCGTCAATCACTAACATATTGGTTAAATATTGACGTTACTGGATAACAGAAGGCGCTTATTACAATAATAATAAATTTTCTAGAACAATCTATTAGAAATAATAAAATTTTAAGATCATTTGGTAAATATACATTATTCTTTCGATAATAAACCGAAATCATGTTCATTTTTTGCTCCATATCGTGACTTACAATACCTTAATGCACAATCGGGCATATTTTCTTTACAAATATTTTTTAAATTCATGGAACGAATGCGTTCGACTAAATGACAAAAATCGGAGATATATCCTATAGGACAAAAGTTACAGACGACAATTTTGTTGCTGATGTGCGGTCTATTACTACTACTTTAATGTTTTTGTATGACATAATCATTCATGAGGCAATCTATGGGGGAGGCCTATGTTCAGCAGTGGACATTTAAAGGATGTAACCTATCTCAACTGTAGCAAAGGACAGTCTTAAAGTAGGCTTTAATTCCTTAGCTGAAATACAGAACCATTAGGGAAAATTAAACTAAAAAAATTCTAGAAGGATTTTGACTCTCCTAGTTCTCCTACGCAATACTAGAGGGCGCTAATGGTAACTAGTGTCGCTATGTACCAGGCATTAATTATGGTGCGCAAGAATATGTTTGGTCGACATTACCATTTCGTATGACGAGAACCTCGTAAAAGCCGAAACAAATAAGAAAACAAAATATGTGGACCTGGCTCACGAGGTGACTGACATGTGGAGTGGTGTGCCGACCGAAATTATTCCTGTGGTCGTCTCTGCGAACGGACTAACCCCGGTCAGCCTGTCGGGTCATCTGAGGCGGCTGGGACTCTGTGCCGGACCGCTTCGAGCTCAAATGCACGCGGGGTGCTCCTCGATACCGCCCGCATCGTCCGCCGGTTTCTTTCCCTTTCCCCCTAACCCTCGGCCGTTTGGTCTCCCCTGCCGAGGGCTTCCATCTGGTTTGGCTTTTATTATTTATGTTAGTATATATATATATATATATATATATATATATATATATATATATATATATATATTTATGTATATTGATTTATTATATCCTTTATATATTGTTTCAGCCCAACCTGATGAGAATAGTTTATAAATATTTTTATAACATTTTTATTCAATATAGATTATAAGAATATTTATTGAAAATCATTTAAGCTTTACCACTGGTTCCGAAAAATCCCTGTCCTAGCAAGAAACCCAGTGGGATTTTTCAAAATGAATTTACAATACAATATTTTATACAATCATTATGAAAACATTAAGAAACAGCATGGTAGCGATCACCTCATTCCAGGGGCTATCAATCATGTACTCCTTAGTGGTATAATAACTCTTGCCAAACAATTTTTGCTTAATAAAAATTTTTAACTTTTTGATAGATAAGGTCTGCATAATTATATAATAATAATAATGTCCTCCAGACCGAATTTCGGTCACGGCGGCCTGCCTCAACGGAGGCTAGCCATCGGCGCAGGACAGGATTATAGTGCCCAAGTGTATGCGCAAGCACAGGTGCACTCTCTATTCCCTCACTCTCATAATCCGATGGGACGGTAAACCGACACGACCGGAGAGAGATCAGGCGCAGGACCAACGGCTTTACGTGCTTTCCGAGGCACGGGGATGATACACCGCCAACTTCCTGACTCCGGGCAGCTACTGAGAATTTCTTGACGGAAAAACTCTATAATTGTTTTTTTTGGCCCGACATGGGATTCGAACCCAGGACCTCATGATCAGCAGTTGCACTACTACAACCACTAGGCCAACAAGCCAGTCATATTATTTATACATAGAAATATATATATATATATATATATATATATATATATATATATATATATATATATATATATATATATATATATCAATTCTTTGTCCAGCAGAAGGCCGCCGAAGGGGGCATGGTGTCGTCATCACAAACGGGGCACGTGCTGATCAGTGCAGACTTTAACGGCTGCATCAAGGTGTTCGTGCACAAAGCCAAGCCCAAGCACAGCTCGCTGCCAGCCTCCGCGCTCGCGTAACAACACCAGCACTTGGCTTTGTCGTTCTGCCAGTTGTTTCAGTGCAACAGAAGGTTTTAACAACTGGATCAAACACCAAGGACGGTGTTTGTGTAATTATTAACAACTTTTTGCCAAACAAAGCCAAGCTTGAACGTGAAATCATAATTTATTGCTTTGTTAAATGAGATATTGTGAATATATGAGATTTCGCATTGCAAACTGTTAACTGTAAATAAAATAAAATTAATTTACACAAAAACTTAATGTATAAAAATGTGTGCAGTTCGCACGCGGTAGAAGTGAAAGAAAATGAGACTGAGATAATAGAAAACAGTGTATACTGTGTTCTATCTCATTCTCTCGCAGGCTAAATCCTATAGATGTATATGTTATACATTGCATTAAAATGTACATTACATTAACTGACGAAAATATCCGAGGAGTATTTCAAGTCGACGCGTATATGTTTTTTTTTATGTATGACCACGCATAACTTTTTGCAGAGTAGTCACAATTCACAAAGTGCGCAAATAAATTTAATGACAGCGTTTTCTTAGTCACATTAAACAAAATCAGTGTTAAATTAAAACGAACCAGTCTTCTCGCCTGCTCGCAGTTGACTAAAGGAGTTACGGAGAATCGATCGTAATTTATTGCGCAATGTATTAAGGCCACAGAGGCCATTTAAGCTGAACGCACATTTGTCAGCACCGCAAGCGCCTTACGCGCTGGTTTTTGAATTAGTTTTATGAAATCCTATGAAACCCCGCACATTGCAGCCGCACGCTGCATTTTATAAAATGGGGTAGGTATCTGAATATTGAAGAAGGCATTCTGATGACGTCATATAATTGGCAACATTAGACAACACCGAATACGCGCGTTCGGCGCGTATTCAGTGTTGTCTAATGTTGCCAATTTTGTGGATTTTCCACTAAAACTGGAGTTTCGTTTCGAAATATATTTTTACTTTATTTCAGGAGCATTTTTCCTTTACTGCGTAGGCAACAATGAGTCGTCACACAAGACTTTTTATAACTTTTAATTAGTTATACATAATTTGAAAAAAAAAAATATAACGAAAAAAAATTGATGATTAATTCAAAAATCCAAATTATACCTGATTACTTAATTATCAATAAAATATACTTACCTCAAACATACAAGTCTTTCTTCTAGTTCAATTGGCCTTCTAAATCTTGAGTTTTTCATAGAGAGATATGGTTTTAGTATATGCAGCAATTCTTGAAATTTCTCGTATCTTAAATGCAAATACCTGAATAATCGTTCATCGTCATCTATTAAGTCTTAAAATATTGTGTAATATTCTCTATACAACTGCCTTTTTGAATAATTATTATTATGAATACAGAATCTTCTTTTCTTCGAATTTTATCTTCTTCTTCTTCCTCTACCAGTAAGCAGGCTATTACAACATTTTTTTCCATGGCGATCCGAGCAATCAATGTCACTGTACCATTTCACACCAGTGCTTGAAAAAAAAATGCAAAAGCTGTTGGCAATACGAAAGAATTGCGTACGGCGCGTACGTGCAAATATGCGAGGCCATCCGAAAATGCAGCGCGTACGCGTACGAGTGTACGTTCTGCTTTCGTTTATACATAGAATTATTTGTAAGAAATAGTAACAAAATATTATTATATAAGATAAGCACTTCACTGGTACCGGACTGAAATAATTTTAGATTTGACCGAATATAATAAAATAAATATATTAATTTTGTGCATATCACTAATTATAAACATTCGATATGTTGTGTAGTGAAATGTATCAAGTAGCAAGACAATAAGACGGAGAACACCAACATTAATGTACCAAATAGTTTTAGCGACAGTCTCAAATATGGCAACATAAAACGCACTTGTAGTCTCTTTGAGATTATTCATGCATTTTCTTTTACAAATATATGCTTTGATATCTTATGTTTATTAATTATTCAAACACTGTACACGTGATATATAAATATAACTAATTTGTACGGATTTTATCACGTTGATTTTTTAAATAAAACTATCAACACACGTGGTCCCTCAGGCCAAAGGTAAAATTGAGAGACCATAAATTATAAAAAAAAGTAGGAAAAGGAATACCGAAATGCAAATATAGTATTGTTTATATGATTGGCTATGAATTTTCATATGTTTTTATTTAAATTTTCTTCATTTTTTTTCTTTTTCGTTACAAAATCTTGTTGCAGCAATTATGTGTACGCCCCAAATCGAAAGTGGGCAGCTATTATTTTGATATTTCTTTTTTTGGTTTAATTTCATGATAGTTAAAAAATACGAGTTATTCAGATAAAAAGATCGTTTAGCAATTTTTTGCGCTTGAATTTAATAGGTACGCGACTATTTTGAGAGGTAGTCTATAGTCTTATTTCTGTATATCAAATACACTGCTTGTTAACTATGGTTGGTTGTTATTGGTATCTTTATATTTTTACTTTATGACTTATAAATATATGTGATGGAGATGACATGGTAAAATTATTATAAATTTCAACATGTTATTTTTTTATAACGTGAATTATAAATTTTATATGTCCCACTATTTCACCTAATAAAATACACCACCACCTTCACTTCATGGTGACCCAGATCTATGCCTCTTGTTATACGATACTGATACCATACCAATTCAACTCATATGCGTCTCGGTCCAAAGTATTGCCGCATGCAAAGATGGCTTTAACTAAAATTACCGTCGATATACGTCCTAAAGCTGGGTACAGCCCTCCTCTCATTTGTGAGAGGGCTTTAAATAATGGTAGTCTGACGATCATATTAAAAAACAGGCAAAAGTTGATTTAAATGGCAGCTAAAATAGTTAATGTTATTATGAAAAACAGTCCTAGAGTGAACTAGATAAACAAACAATATTTTGAACATTCAAATATAACAACTGTTTAACACTTTCACTGTCCGGTTTCCAGACATAATAGTAAGACAATAGCAATGACCCATATGTGGGTCATTGGACAGTGAAAATCTTAACTCAAGTACCAAAAGATGTTTTGAGATTTTACTTGGAGATATTAGCACACTGCTGATATTTAACTGTCAAGACCGCGTTGTGCAAACAACAAGTTATTGAGATATTCATTTTGTTGCTGTCCAAACTGGCAAACCTACAACATAGGTTCTTAGCAACAGGAGACAGACGAACAACTAACGCACATTTCTTCCTATATATACAACATGTAACATAATTAACGCACTTTGAGAAAGTAGTTTGTTCAGAATCGTTTACTGAATCGAGTCCTATCATTTTTAATATAGGTCATTTTTTATCCCAAAAATAATTAAAACTACGCAAATTACAGTCACACTAAATCTGTACAGTCAAAACAAACTGAAATGGACCGTAACTTAAGGCAATAAGACTTTTAAGAGTGCAGTTTTATTTGTATTATTACAAATTCTGTCATTCAATAAAAATAAAGAAATGTGAACTTTATTTCAAGCACGTTAAAGTCTTTGCGTTCGTGGATTTTTACTGTGACCATAACATTCTTACGGAATTAGTATAACTAATTTGATAAATAATCAGTGCATAAAAATGTTTAACTAAAAATTCAGTGTATGTATTATGATTATAACATAATATACTAATTGGGGTGTCTGAGGGTGTGCGTTAATTATGTTACATATTGTATATATTTTTATTTTTGTTTTATTTTACTTATATATAATAGTAATGTATATTTACTCGGGTAATAAGTAACATTGTAAATTATTAGGTTCAATCGAAAGCTATATTTAAGTCGTTTTTGTTGTGTGCTAGGCTTTATTTTTTTTCTATCACATTTCCAGTTGATTCTCTTACGAAATTATATTTTTAATAAGTTCTTGCCTTAATAAATTAATCATGTGATTTAATATGAGATAAGTGTAAATTTATTATTTAGTATTATATTTGTATAAAGATCACGATGCCATTGTATTATCAAATAATAAAATAAAATATTGTATTGTCTATGTAAATCGCATTTATCACTATTAAAAAATCGTTACATTTCAACAATGCTTTTTATTTGTCAGTTACAGTTATAAGAAACCATAAGTGATGCGACGTCCGGTAGTAGTTGCATCTATACACAAAATTATCAATTCATGTTTCTGTATCAATGATTGATTCCAGTTAGGATATGAACGAAGTTTCCAACGTAAGTAAGTCAGAGATTTTGACATTGACGTACTTATTGTATCTGACGTAAATATTGTATCGCACATTTTTTAAATAAAATTCTAGTGATGTGCGGGGGTTTTAGTTAGCTAGGTGTTATAATATTAGTCGAATGACGGATTCGAACCTATGACTTCAGATTTTCGCAGCCCATGTGTGTAGTAACTTTGAAACCTTACATATTGGATATTTAAATGAGCCGAATAATTAAACCCATTTTTCCCTCGTACGTAAAAGAAAACAAAAACCAAGTTTAGAGCTTGAACATTTTATTGGCAACGGTACATAAAGTGACAGCGGGATTGTTTAGCGGGATTGTTAAATCCGTCTTTACAAAACAGCTACATAATAACAATAAAATCGCAATAAAATATCTCTTACAAAACTAACTTATAATAAAATATAAAACACTTAGGAAATGCATATTAGGGCGGAATCATTACTATTGTCTTTGTTAATATAAAAAATAAGCTTATAGTAAAATTATTAGTTTTTTATTTTGCTGACGCTACGCTCTATATTAATAGTACAGAGACTGTAGTAAAGGCACTCGCTTGTCTCTATATTTTGACATTACATTCATTATATTCCATCAACTCCGCTGAACATTGACCTCAAGCTCTTCCCCGGACCTCGTTTTGTCAACTGCAGTTTTCTTTTGTTATTGGGTTATTAAGAGGAAGATTATGCTACCCATCTCCCATTTCACTTCCATCTGTCACCTCTTACCACACCTACGAGATGATACGTAGTGGATTTTCTTAAACCACCACTACATGGTAACAGATCTTATCCACTCTGGACTTTCTATACAGATGTGAAAACTAACAATAATAAACAAATGTTAGTGTCACCACTTGTCTAATAACACTGGTTTGGACTTTATTGCATCTTGGATTATGTTGAGATTCATGTCGAGAATTTCATCGAAGCAAAATCCGTATCTTCAAAAGATAGACTTCTCTTTTATTTTCTCCAGGATTGACAGCCGACGATATAACCAAGAGACATCCTAAGCTTTCCATGGTGGTTTGTTTATGTTGAGGCTCCGTTTGGCAGTTCTGTCCTTTCGTTCATGCCTATCTGGTCGGTCACTGGTGGGGGCTTCGTGTAGCTCAGAACAATGCCCCTTCAGGTTTTCGCCATCTGCGTCCAGACTGCTCTCAAAGTTCACTGGTTTTGACAACAGCTGTAAAGACAGACCAAAATTAATTAATTGTTTTTACTTATTTATAAGAGTGCTAACTACAAGTCCAAGTACGAAGTTCTAGATCGTAAATCGCACTGTCCTAGCGCAAATAAAGCCTATATACATTGTCGTCTGAGTGTTTTAAGATTTAGATTTTTTAAAGTAATCATCAATAAACATTAAGTTTACGAAAAAAACCTTTTTGAATGCCTCGTTATTAATAAAAAGAGCCTCTGTGTTTTTGCACAGATCATACAAAACACAAACATTAATCTGCCATTTTACGCTGGTATTTTGTATATATATTTTAAACAAATTAATTAAAATCTATCTAAATTCAAATCATATCCACGCTAGCCTGTGCCCCTGCGAAGTGACAAGGTAAATTTATTGTTTTATTGCTGTTCGTAAAGTAGGGTGTTTTTCTAGACGGTAAAAAGTTCATCCAGTTTAGCTGCAGCGTGGCTCTACCACGTAAGTAAATCATACATCCTTATGGATATAATGAAAATTACAGCAACAGTGAATGTTCTAAGCAGTACTTTACAACCACCACATGAGAAAATAATACCAGAAAATTACAAAACATTACCTTGTTGATATAATGCTGCAATTCATTATCACTGAATCCATCCGTGTGTCTTTGAGCTTGTTTGGTGTTTGGTCCAGCCACTGCAAGAAAAACTAACATAGAATATTTGTATATCTTATATATATATATATATATATATATATATATATATATATATATATATATATATATATATATATATATATATAGTTTCCATGTTTGGCAGTTGTGCTGCTGCCAATCTTCTATGTCAGTTTTCCTCTGTCGCCTCTTACGACCCCCACGGGATATTATGGGGTAGTGGATTCCCTCACGCCGCCACTACACGGCATAAGTAGTCAAGAGCTTGTGACTGCCACCATACAGGTAGGTACTAATTCATATTGCATCCATAACGTGTTAAGTTCACAGCAAAACTATTGCTTTGCACCAGCTATTACAATTATTTTTTCATAAAGTATATATATATATTACCGGCAGGCGTAGTGTAGGGCGACCCCCCACAAGATGGAGTGACGACCTAGTAAGACATGCAGGAAGTCGATGGATGCAGGTGGCTTAGGACCGTGCTCTGTGGCAATTCCTGGGAAGGCCCATGTTCAGCAGTGGACTTGTGAATGGCTGTGATGATGATGATGATATATGGAGCTGCTCTGGTGGCAAAAAAAGTCGTGGATTCCCCTCTCCCAACCTCATTTTATTGACAGAAGAACCCAATAATTAGTTTTGCCTGACCCAGGATAGAATTCTAGACCCCATGAACCGCAGTCACGCTTACAAACATTAGACAAAGAGGTAGTCAATACCAATAGATTTAAAATGGGATGCTGATAGAGCATTTAATAATAGACTCATCTTAAATCTAAACAAAACAAAGTAAATAATTTAGAGATCCAAGATTACATGATGCACAGCATAAGCATTATCTAAATGAGAACATACCACTATCAGGTCGAGTAAGATCCAACGATGAGAAGCTTATGGACGCACCATGGTTGGCAAGGTTCTTGTCGGTTTGAGGTTGGTTTTGCTGACATACTGGTAGGTTTACTGGCAGGTTGGCTGGCAGGCTGGCAGGATGGCCATTGGTGAGGATCTGCAGAGCTTGTCGCCACTGAGCCTCCATGATGCTGTGCAGCTGTGAGGCTATTTGCCCGCGTCTACGTCGATATGTCTCCAATTTGTTCTGTTGAATATACAGAATGGTTACAAATAAAAATGATACAACAAAATTTTTTTATAGATCATCGGTGACAAACGAGCAAACAGTTCACTAAAGTGTATTTAAAATAGACAATATTATGAAAATAGGCATCTTCATTTTGTTACGTGTGTTGTAAGAGACGACAGAGGGAAGTGAAACAGGAGAAGGGCAAGAAAACTTCCTAATAACAACTCAAAATAATAAAAAACTGCGGTTACCAGTCAGCCTGCACGCGTGGCAACTATGGCAAAATCCTACTTATGACCCATTCCATGCCTCCATAGAATACTTAGAATAAAATGCCTATGTTAAGAAGTGGACTTTTAAGAGCTGTGATGGAATGGAATATAATTTACTCCAAACGGTGGCCAGACTGGACGAAAACTAGCCATCTGCGCAGCACAGGATTATAGTGCACGAGTGTCTCTCTCTCTCTATTCCTTCACTCTCATAGTCCGATGGGATGGCAATCCGACACAACCGGAGGGAGATCAGGTGCAGGACCAACGCATTTACATGCTTTCCGAGGCACGGGGGTAAAGGAACACCATCAACTTCTCGACTCCGGGCTGCTGCTATTGAGAATTTTTTGACAGAAAACCATTAACTGATTTTGGCCCGAACCAGAATACGAATCTGGGACATCATGATTAGAAATCGTGTTTTCGATCACGAGACCAACAAGTATATGAAAATAACCAACGATTTAATAACAACTCAAATGATAAGTGATTACAACTACAATTAGCAACAGAATGGTAACCCCTTCTTGCAAGATCTGGTGTAAAATACCCAGACCGTCGCCAGGTTACAGCATCAACAGTGCTCACGTCCAGTGGCGTAGCTAGGGCTCCAAACTAGGGCAAGCCCAAGATATAAATTGATAAAGATATAGATTGTTGTTTTTAACAGTTTTATAAAAATACACCAATTTTGATCTGTCTCCACTCATCAGTTTCATATTCAGTGCTGCCAAGGACGTGTTTAACAAAGCACATAAAAGGCATACTACTGCTAGATAGATTGTATGACCTATCAGCGATTGCATAGCTTCGGTGGCTTTGAAAAATCCGTTTGAGTTTGCTTGAGTGAACGAAAAAGATATTTACTTACAAAACAATACATAAACAAAATTAAAGCATGAACAAAGTACAAAATTAAAAAAAAAAATATTTACATTCTAAATGGACTCGTCTCTCTTTCTTAAGGAAAGATTTGATTATGTCCACGTAAAATGTTGGTGAACGTTTTAATTGTACCAATACCTGTTTTTTAACTGCCATAATTGATAAGTCTGAAAGACATTCTTGACCTCGTGTATTTTCTCAACAAAGTTTAAAGATTTTACCTTTTTCTCTCCGATTAGCACTTTAACACACTTCAATTCATCACAGGGAACACTATTATTCTCCATTTTCACTAAAAATCTTTAAAAAAAGCTTAAATTTTCTACTCGCAATATTAAATCGACTACACAGAGTAAATAAACATTGAAATGTGAAGTGAACTTGCAAACGTATCGCCCGCGCATCTCGGCTCTCGACAGCTTCCTTCCTTAAGTCTGGCTTTTTCTCTCTATACTAATTGCTATATATACAATCGTAGTTATATTTCATTATAGAACATTTTGCCACAGGTTAGAAAGGGAGCGATCGTCCCGTAAAAAGCCCACGCGTGCGAGAAAGACGACTAATCGCTCAATAAAAACTCTTTTTTTATGACGGCAGCAGTATCGCTAAGGCAATACGAGGTCATGACCTGTGTAGAACAGAGGAGCGCGCGGGAAATTTGAAATAGTTTGAAACAGTTTACGAGTAATTTTATTAGTTGATATTATTGATTCAGTTTGATAAGGCAAGCCCGGCTTCTCGACTTCTATGGAGGCTTCGCCACAGCTCACGTCTGTCCCTTAAAGTTGTTTAAAACGACTACAAATCAATAGCACGCTACGGACTATAAACTATAAATTTCTAGCGCGCTATTAAATACGCTATGTTATAGCGCACTATTTATAAGAAAACGTGTAGGAGGCCGGCAAGTGCGTTAACTTTAGCAGCACGCTATATCTCGGAGTACGTTACATTACGTGTCGTTCATTGGATAAACCGCGTGCTATATAAGAACACTAGCTTGCCAGGCAGACGTTGTTCTGCCCTTTTCGACGACCCTTTGTTCTATTAAAAATCTCATGGGCAAAAAAACTATCCTATCTCTTAAGTTGGACCAAACTGCACACGGTGTACAAATTTAATAAAAATCGGTTAAGTAGTTTAGGAGTCCATCGCAGACAAACAACGTCACACGTAATTTATATACAGGATGGGCCAGGATAAAGTTCACTTTTCTTTGGCAAATAGATCGTCATACGTGGGAAGTAGCGGGGTGCGCGGTGTGTGATCGGGTCACGCGTCTTACGCAATTTTAGTCGCCATGAGTCAGTTCACAGGGGAGCAGCGCGCGTTCGCGGTTTAAGCGTTTTACGAAAATGGTCATTCTTACATTATTGTGCGGCGTATGTTCGGACTTAAATTCAATTTACCGAGTATCCGGCAGTGTCCTAGTACTCAGTTGCTAAAACAATGGGTGAAGAGGTTCCAAGAAACTGGTTCGACGCTACCAATGAGATGTCAAGGTCGCCCTCGTACTTTACGCACGGAGCAAGCGATTCAGGAGGTTAATCGATCTGTCCAAGAAAATGCGGCTCTCTACGCGACGACGTTTAGCGACTTTGGGGATTTCGCGAAGCAGCTTAAGACGAATTTTGAGACAAGATTTGAAGCTTCATCCTTATAAGATCCAGTTGGTGCAAGAACTTTCCCATGATGAACATACAAAAAGGGCGTCATTTTCCACCTTGATGTTAGAGCGGTTTTCCAACTTCGGGAACATCCTTTTCGCGGACGAAGCCCACTTTCACCTGAACAGATTTGTCAACAAGCAGAATTGCCGTTTCTGGAGTGCTGAACAGCCTTTACGCAAGCATCAAAAGCCACTCCACTGCCAAAAAGTGACGGTTTGGGCTGCCATTTCAGCCAAAGGGCTGATTGGACCTTATTTCTTTGAAAAATCTCGAGGTCACGCAGTAACCCAATACAGACCGTTGTGGAAATGCTTCAAAAGTTTTTAAGGCCAAGCCTTGCTGGGCTGCAAGAGTACAGCTCCCTGACCTGGTTCCAGCAGGATGGGGCCACCTGCCACACGTCTAATGCCAGCATGGAGGTCGTACAGGAGCTGTTCCCTGGTAAAGTCATCTCAAAGAGAGGTAACATCGAGTGGCCACCACGAAGCCCAGACTTGTCCCCACCGGATCTCTTTTTGTGGGGATTTCTCAAGAATAAGGTCTATTCCAATAAACCGAGAACAATTACTGCCTTAAAAGAGAACATTCGAGCAGAAATGGCGGCCATATCGACAGCAACGTGCCGGCGTGTTTTTGAAAATTTAAAGTCCCGCTTAGAAGAGTGTTTGCGGCGAGACGGGGAACACCTAGACGATGTTATTTTCAAGAAGTAAATTAAATTAATGTTAAATTGAGTTACTTTTTGAATAAACTCTCTAAGTATTATCATTCTTTTTTTATATGGGTTTCAAAAGTGAACTTTATTCTGGCCCAACCTGTATATTAAGATTATTACGTAATAAGTCGCATTTTAGATTAAAATAAAATAAAGTGGTAAAGAGAAGTCAATGAAAGTCTTTCATACTTTTCAGGGTTATGACTTTCTATAATCCTAAAAATATTTTTAAGGCATGTATTTTTACAAAATAAAATTAATCATTTTTATTATAATTGATGTAAACGTTATTTTAACCTTAATATAAATTATAAATCAATTAAAGGTGTATTTAAGTTTATTGATTGTATATACAAACATCAACTATTTACAAACACTATTATATACACTTTGTAATTATATTTTATTTACATTTTAAAACATTAGTTAGGCTTCTTTTGTAGCAGACAACTGTGTCCTTCGATCACTTATAAATGTACAGTATACGCTAACTAAACAACGTCTAACACTAAATTAGTTCACGCGCGATGAATAGCGTGCTGCTAGATTAAATTTGCGTCACACGTCTGCTCATAACAGCGCTGCTGCAAGAACTAGTTGCATTTGCCACTTGATAAAAATAGCGCCAACGTCAAGCGTCATAGCGCCATGGCGACTACTTACCTACATAGCACGCGCTATGCGTTATGGAGAGATAGCGCGCTATATTGACCACCATTACTGTCCCTGCGATCGATAAATCGCCTGTCAAATGTGGCGATTAAGATAATTTCTTCCTACAGCTAAAATCCTATGCCCGGTGTAAGACTTACATGCCGATAAAGAAAACGAGAATTGTCTCATCCGTCCATCCATTACAGACTATAAAATGCACGCGCTGAATATGGAGTCTCCCCCATACATTATTTCATAGAGGGGTTTTTTCCCATAGTTGCCATGCTTTGCAGTCGAGTTGGTAACTGCAGTTTTTTATAATTTTGAGTTGTTATCAGAAAGTCACTGCTGAACATTTTCTGGTTCATGATTTCTGGTCTGGGTAGTGGATATCCTTACGCCGCCAATACATGGTCACACTTTACATTAATAGTACCTGGATGACCGAGCTTTACTCGGTATTTTTTTGGAAATTATATTTAGATACAAATTACATACTGATGAAACATGAATAATATTTTTTGATCTTACTGACATACGAGGGGTGATCCAAAAGTAATGATAATGAAATTAAAACACGGTAATTAAAGTTAAAATAATAATTTATTTTTCTACATAGTCTCCTAACAAATCATTAAGTCCATCTTTTTTCTAAAACCAGGATTCCCTTTGAAAAAAATTCTTTGTCTTGACCCTCCCAAAACGCTTCAACAGCGGCCATTACTTCGCTACCGTCTTCGAATTTCTTGCCTCGGAGGCGTTCCTTGAGCCGAGGAAAGAGGTAGAAGTCACTAGGAGCTAGATATGGCGAATAGGGAGGGTGTTCGAGCAGTTCGAATCCCGTTTCTTGAATGGCAGCCATCGCGTTGTTTGTCGGTGCGTTGTTTTGGTGAAACAGCTCGCAGTTTGCCGCGTCTTTTTTCCTTAATGGCCTTCGTAATCTTATTTGGTCTTCGTAGTAAGAGCCCGTAATAGTGGCTCCCTTTTCCAAATATTCCACCGTAATTATGTCTTGAGCGTCCCAAAAAATAGATGCCATAACCTTTCCCGCCGAACTTGAAACTTTGAATTTCTTTGGCGTCGGTGAGGAGGCTCGCTTCCAAGTCATCGATTGTTGTTTCGTTTCAGGATCAAAATGGTGGATCCAGGTCTCGTCCATAGTCACAAAACGGAACAAAAAATTTCTTGATCTGCTTGGAACTTTTCGAGATTGACCCTCGAAATCTCAACTCGATTTTTCTTTTGCTCGTCGGTTAACATTCTGGGTACCCAACGCGCAGAGACCTTTTTCATATGCAACTCGTTCGCAAGGATTCTTTGAACGCTGCCATATGAGATCCCTGTGACCTCAGCTACATGCCTGATGGTCACTCTTCGATTTGCCAACACAACATCTTCGACTTTTTTCACGTTGTCTCCAGTGAGGGACGTGGATGGGCGTCCTTCACGATGTTTATTTTCAGTGGATGTTCTGCCCAGTTTAAACTCCTTGGCCCAGCGTCCAACTGTAGAATATGGAGGAGCAGAGTCACCCAATGTTTCCACTAAGTGACTGTGTATGTCTTTTGAAGACATTTTTTTCAAACAGAGGTACTTGATGACAGCTCTAATTTCGTTTTTCTCCATGTTGATGTTATCTCTTTGACAGTTCGTATTCAAATGAATGTATCTCCCGGAAATCGTGATCTATTTATATGATTTTTAGGCTGACGTAGTGAGTATACAAGTAAGCAAAAAAAATTTTTTTTGGATTTTTATGCGTACCTGAAGTAACCGATTATCATTACTTTTGGATCACCCCTCGTAATAGAAAAAACTAAACTGGTTATTTGAACAAAAAAATCATGAGTGCAATTAGTTTAATTAAAATTATCGTATTTTTAAAAAAAATACAAAAAAGGGCTCGGAATAATAGATTTTCCCACAAAAGGGAACTTGAAAAAGAAGGAAAAAAGTCGGACCGAAGACAGGACGCAAACCAAGGCATTACCATTTCGCGACCGCCCGATGTCCACTTGAGCCATTACGACCATTTACACAGTGACAAAATTTACCTTCTTATATTGTAGCAGTTTTTCATTGCCTGAAAACTCGGAAAAAAGACATTTTCTAAAAATGAATCCTAACTAAATCGATCTATTGCCCCCGAAACTGAACACTAAATTTTATGAAAATCGTTGGAGTCGTTTCCGAGATTCCGATTATATATATATATATTATAAAAAAAAAAAAAAAAAAAATTAGTTAGGCTATGCCGATTATTAATTAAATATAAACACGAACCTCCAGCAAGCCGATCTTCTCGCTGGCCTGTGCCAGTTGCAACCTGTACAGCTTGATCTCTTCCTTCTGCTTCTCTTCTAGAACGTTCACCTCCAGCTTATGTCTGTTAAAGCAAAAAGTAACATTCATTAACAAATCTACCGTGTGGTGTATAACATTGTCATATAACAGATCCTAGTATATTTATAAAACAAATTCTTGATTTGTATAAAAAAAATATATATGCATATAGATCAACTATTACGCGTATATATAAATATTACTGAGGTATTTTGAGTTCCAAAAGGTCATTTATGTAGAGAATAAAAAGAGTGGATCAGCATCATCGGGAGCTGAGAAATTACTTACTTTAAACGTGGTAGAGCCACGCTGCAGCTATAGCTTATATTATAGTAATAGCACGAATGGGTTAGCTCGAGTGGGGAAGGACCACTCTCTCACAGAATACCAGAGTAAAATAAAATAGCAGCTTAATCCTGATGTGTTATATATGGTGAGTGTAGAGAACCGGAGACCCCATTCATTGACAACAAGGCATTCCATCTTAGTCCTCAGAGGTGATAACTCGTCTGCATTGTGTTCTTAACTGAGGATAGATGTAAATATCTGTGGGCCACAGCATCCTTTTCCCATCAGGTGGACGGTGCTGTGGTAAATATTATTAGTATCAAAGTTATTAAGATTGTTTTTATCATCATTGTTGTTCAAATATTTTATTTTGCCATTGTTTATGGTACCCAAATAAATTTAAAAAAATCATCCTTTCTTTTTAAAGTACGAGAATTTTGTTTTAAAATGTTTTTCAAGCCTTTATTAAACAGTTCTTAATGTGTGATTAATATCCACAACTATTTCAAATTACAGATTTGTAGCACCTAGGGTCTCTGAGTAAAATCGCGGACGGATGGACGAACGGTAATGGCAAACTATAGGGATCCCTTGTTTAACTACGGAACCCTAAATATATGGTGGAGATGATGAGATTCCATCATTCTATTCTTAACTTTTTTTTTATAGAAGAGGGGGCAAACGAGCATGCGGCTCACCTGATTTTAAGTGACTACCGCGATGATACCACACCAGAGGAATTGCAGGTGCGTTGCCGGTCCTTTAGAAAGGAGTAAGCTCTTTTCTTGAAGGTCCCCAGGTCGTATCGGTCCTGAAAAATCGCCAGTGGTAAACTATTCTCATAGAGGTTGTACGCGGAAGAAAACTCCTTTTGAAACGTACAGTGGTGGACCGCCATGTGTGGCGCTATGTACATGGTGTGGATGGTATCGGAACGTTTGCCGCGTAATGCGTTCACGAAATTTGGCGGCTGGGATTAATCCGAACAATTCCTCAGAGCACTCTCCATGGTATATGAGAAAGGAAATGCAAAGAGATGCAACATCTCTTCGCAGTGCCAGTGAATCGAGCCGATCGAAAAGCCACTCGGTCGTCGACGATTCGAGCCGCTCTGCGCTGGATGCGGTCAAGTGGAAGGAGCTGCTACTGGGGAGCCCCAGCCCAGAGATGGGAACAGTATTCCATGTGCGGCCGAACCTGCGCCTTGTAAAGTTGCAGGCGGTGGTGCCGGCATGAAATACTGTCCCGCTCCAAAGCTTTTTAGAGGGCAGTTTGGCCTTCTCTTCCAAGTGACCACGAAACTGCACGTCACTCGATATGTCGACGCCGAGGATTCCGATACTGGCTGAGGCAACAAGGGGAGTGCCTTGAAACTGAGGAGATACGACAAAGGGGTTCTTTTTAGCGGTTAACGCGCAAACTTGTGTCTTCAGGGGGTTAAACTGGACTAGATTTAGTCGCCCCCAATCCGAGACTCTGTTCAGCAAAGACTCGACTTCAGACACAAGTTTGTCCCGGCACTCGGAGACGTTTTCCCGAGAAATATTGGCTCGGCCGGTGTAAAGAGCATCACCAGTGCTGTCACCTGCATAGCAATGTATGTTACGGATTTGCAACATATCATTTATATGCAGAAGAACAGCGTTGGCGATAGCACGCAGCGTTGTGGAACACTAGCATTAATAGGCTTGCAATCGAAGCTTGTACCGTCTACAACGACCTTGATGCTCCGATCTGCAAGAAAGCTGGTGATACAATCGCACAATTTCTCGGGAAGCCCATAGGAAGGGAGCTTCAAAAGAAGCGCTTTGTGCCAAACCCATCAACCTTCGCAATCCAAACTAACGGCCAATGCCTCCCCCTTGGACTCTACTGCCTCCGCCCATCTGTGAGTTAGGTAGACCAGAAGATCACCAGCTGACCGACCACGGCGAAAACCGTATTGGCGGTCACTAATCAGCTGGTGATCCTCAAGGTACCTCATGAGCTGGCAGTTTACAATGGACTCCATTGTTTTGGAGAACAAGGAGGTCGATAGGCCGGTAGTTGGACGGCTCTGAGCGGTCGCCTATTTTAGGGATCGGTGAGAAAGCCGTCTTCCATGATTTTGGGACTACGCCTAAGGAGTAGGAGTACCGGAAAAAACGCGTTAAAACCGGTTCCAGCTCTGGAGCACACGTCCTCAGCACAATTGGGGGATTCCGTCAGGCCCACCCGACATGTGGATGTCCAGAGAGAGGAGTGCTTTGGGAACCGAGCGCTGTGTGAACTGCACTTCCGGCATGGTGCACTCACACCGCGGGATGGTCGGCGGCGTACTCCCCCCCTCATCGAGAGTCGAGTCGGACGCAAAGAAAGAGCCTAGAAGATCGGCTTTCTCCTTTGCGGTATGGGCCAGTGTGTCGTCCTCCCTGTACAGAGATGGAAAGCTAATCCAAGCCAGACCAAATGCAGGTTCCAGAAGGAAGGCGAACTAGTTTCTCGCCAATTCTGCCTATGTGCTCTGACTTTGCCTTGGCAATGACTCTTTTGAAGGACCTAGAGGCGGAATTATACTTCTTTTTTAGAGCGCTGGTGTTTACATCCCGGAACGCTGATGCGTCGGCCCAGGCTTGCTAGCACTCCTGCGTATAGCATGATGCTATTTTACAGGAGCGACCAAACCATGGCTGAGATTTGCCTCCAATGGGCACCACAGAGGAAGGAATAAAAAGTTCCAACCGTGAAGTACCAAATAAGCGACAGAATCCGCAACAACGTTTGGATCGTCCGGCGAGAAGCAAACCCGCCCCCAAGGGTAGGATGCAAAGAAAGACCGCATCCCATCCCAATCGGCTGACCTATAGTGCCAAACACGGCGGCAGCCTGCAGAATGCAACTGCGATTTCAGCGTGAGTGGCACCACACTCCGGACAAGACAATGGTCCGAGGAGCATAAAGGGGCGTCGACGGAAATCTGATATCCGTCCGGGCGAGAGGTCAGCAGAAGGTCCAACAGGGAAGGTGCATGATCCTCCACATCTGGAATCCGCGTAGGCGAAGTAACCAGTTGTGTCAGACCATATGCCAAGGCAAAATCATGAACAGATCTCCCCACATGATCGGTTAAACGTGAACCAAGCCATTCGGCGTGATGGGCGTTAAAGTCACCGAGGATCACGATCTCTGCGGAGGGGATCCGATGTAGCAACGAATCTGTAGCCATTAGGACGTGGTCGAAGAGTCGGTCTGTTTCGGCATTACCGCTATGGGACCTATAGAGGCACCCGTAGACGCGCGGATGGTCGCCGCTGTCTACGCGTAGCCGAAAGCTAAAGGATGGACAGGTCCGAACCTTCAAGTCTGCCGAGGCGTCGAGAACAGATGTGAGCGACCAGCCCGAGGCACAAAGGAGTGTTCCAGTTTGTACCTCGGGTAGGAGAGAAGCGAGACATCAGCCGGAGAGGACACCTGCGTCTCGGTCAGAAAGAGCAGAGCCGGCCTCGCCGTCTCGAGATGGTAGTGGACGGCGTTTAGGTTAGAGTAAAGTCCTCTGATATTGTAGAAATTCACGGACAGCGTGGCAGGGGTCGCCTTGGTCTTGTTGCGCCGTTTCGAGCCGGAACCCCCCCCCCCCAGAATACGCGGGGCAGCCTGAGCACCCACGCTCAGAAGTGGAGAAACATGGTCGTGGATGCTCAGCGAGGGATTCTCCAGGGGTGCTGGTACCCTCCTGGGGTAGTCTATCATCATTTAATTCCGCTACCATGTTGATGGGGTGGGGGATTTGGGCTTCCGGCTACCTGCACTCACCAGACGCAACGCGGGAGCAGAGCTTCCACTTCACGCCGGTATTCTGTGAGGTCGTGGTACCACCCCGGTTTGAGCCGGCCCATACGTGCAACAGCAAAGCTGCCGCGTGGCTCTACCGCTGTTAAAAAAACTGGATGGATGCAGGTGGCGCAGGACCGTGCTGTCTCGCAGACCTTGGGGGAGGCCTATGTTCAGCAGTGGACTTGTGAAGGGCTGTAAATGATGATGATGATGATGATTCTTAACTGGCTTAAAAAGGAAGAGGTACATAATTCGGCTGTATGTATTTTGTTACGTGTGTTACTTCAGAACTTTTTTCTGGGTGAACCGATTTTTATGATCCTTTTTTTTTTGAGAGCTGTGCATTTGATAAGGTCGAACCAGTAGTTTTTGAGTTATTCTTAATAATGCGTATTTCAATAACTTTGTATTCGAAGTTAATGCTGATGATGTTTTCATTTTATTTATATTGAAGTCAGTTATGCAAAATTTTTAATTTTACCCCTTGTGTCACATGCGTTTCATAAGACGCGACTTTGGAAAAGGCTTTAGGATTAGGGTCCTGATAGATTGGCGATATACCATCTCGTATATTATGTAAACTACCCAGACTAACAAAGTATACCAGCGTGAAAGGTGACAGGTGTACTGAGATGGCCACTTGTGCTAAGTTTGGCTATTAAAGCAAATCTTTCCTAAAATAGAATGCTACCATGTCTATCAGTTGAGTGTTATAGACTGATGAAGAATAAAAGAATGAACACTTTCATTGAAATAGAATAATGAGAAATAGAAAATACGGTTTCCATCCTCTGCATTGTAATGATATTAAATTGAAGTAAATACTTACTACTATAGTAAACTTGAAGTTTGAAGCTTATACATGGTCAATGTTTGACTGCCTAGTTAATGTTGAGGTCGTAAGATTACGCGTTCAAATCCCAGGTCAAGCGTAAATATGTAATTGGGTATTTCTAACAAGAAATACTCGTAGCAGCCCAGAGTAGTTGGCCATTGTTCCTGCACTTGATCTCTCTCCGGTCAAGTCGGACTGCCGTGAGAGCGAGGTAATAGAGAGTGCACCAGTGCTCGGACATACCCTCCTGCACTATAATCCCGTCTAGCTCAGATGATTAGTCCCCGTTGAGACTGGCCATCATGACCTACATTCGGTCTAAAGAACTTTAATAGACCGTGTTGATTGACCTCTAGATTTGATCTCCACCTCACAAACCATGCCAATACTGATACGCCTGTTTTTAGTTTAACTTACTGTTCTTCGATCCTCGCAATTTGATTATTGTAAGTGTCAATTATTGCGTTCTCTTTACTTCGAGCATCATTCTCCATCTCCCTCTGTGCATGGTCGAGTTGGATCTGGAATTCTTTGAGTTTCGCAAGCACAGCATCTTCTAGTTGCTGCTGGTAATGAGTTTTCAGTTCATTCTTTTGGAGTTCTAAGAGTTTTCGGAGAGTTTTAATTTCGTTGTCTAACGATTCCTAAAGAATTATGGAATTGTTAGTATTAAATTGATTTAAAAGTTTAAAGGCTGGTAATTGGGTCTCTTATAAAAGACGATGATTAAGTAATTTTATCTTTGTGCCAATAATAACATCCAAACTGATACGTGTTAATAAGAATGTATAAGTAACAAGCAATGGGATATTTTTTATGAAATTTAAAAGACAAAAAACCTAAAATAGAATAGAACATTTTTATTATAAATAATTCTTAATGAAAGTTATGTTTTACTTTACTTTTTCTTTTCGGAAAAAACCTATGTTCTAAGAATCAGAAAGAAAGCCAAGAGAACTTTTTCCCATAACAACTTTATGTAATATAAAATATGATATAGAATAAGGATAACAAATCAGCACACCGTCCACCTGGTCCATGTGGATACTGTGGCCCATACCACCATATATACCATAGATATAGTATCTATTCCAGGTGGAGAACTAAAATGCTTATACACTGTCACCCCTGAGGTAAAAAGTAAAAAAGTAAAGTTACAGCCTATATACGTCCCACTGCTGGGCACAGGCCTCCCCTCATTTCTAAGAGGGTTTTAGGGCAAGGAAGTGTCCGCCGCGCTGCCCCAATGCGTGTTGGCGAACTTCACATGTCTTCGAAATATATTTTTTTCCTTACTTCTCAGAATATCCAGGTTTCCTCACGATTTTTTCCTTACACCGACCGAGCACATGGTAGATCAGCACTTAAAATTGCAATTAACAACTTCATTGGTGCCGGCGGGGATCGAACCCGGATTACTCGCGTTCTGTTATATTTACAGCGAGCGTTAACCATCTGAGCTACCACGGACTACCCCTGAGGACTACGATCGAATGCCCTGTTTCCAGTAAAAAGGATAGTCAATAGATAAGATGGTAGTAGATTCTTATACTGGAAAGTTCTCTACACTCACCATACCACACCACAGCAGTACAAAGCTGCAATTTTAAGCTAGTAATCTGTGTGATTATGATCATTTCCCGATCGCGCCGACCCATTCATGCTACTTCATAATATAGCCGCAGCATGGTTCTACAACATGTGGATATATTATTTGATTGTGCTGCTCTAGGTACATATTTTACGCTATATAGTTTTTTTATTAATATTTTATAGTGATACACTTACACATTTTTTGAAAAGCTCACTATTTTGATTCTGTGAGTCACACAGCTGCCTCTCAAGGATATTGCATTTGGATCTCTCTTCGTTCACTTTCTCCTTTAGTATGTCTTTCTCTTGAGTGGCCAACATGGCCTCTTCTTGTATTGACTGGACCTTGCGGCTTAGCTCATTTGCTTTACTTCTAGTCAGTTCATGTTCAGCCCTTTCCTGTTTTTTGAGTAAAACGAATTTCTTAAATCCTTTTAAAATTTGTTACAATAAGTTAAATGGGGCTGGGGTTAATCTACTCCTAATTCTTACATTTTTACCTTATTAGTACGACTAAATTAACACCAATTCTGCTCGCACGTCCGGCGAGCAGTTTGGCGAATTGATCTAGGGGAGAACGAAAGTCGTGTTGATCCCCAAAGCAAGTCTGAGAAGTTCTTCCTTCACGTGGTTGCCGCCTCTTATTTGGTCTGGTTCAATAGGAAACAGATAGAACAGAAACACTCAGACGATCCTCTTTTTCTTTTTATCCCACCCCCTTTTTCTTATCCCAACCCAATCCAAGCACATTGCCGATGGATGGGTGGAGCCGAGAATAGGGCGATTTGGGTAGCATTTTAGCCCTTCCCTCGGCATGCAGGTCTCTGCCAAGGGTGCCCATTTTATTTCCCTAGTTAATGGTGGGAACAAAATGGACAGAAAGGATCTAGATTTTAAACTGAACTCTCTGCAGGTTTGTAAGAGGCTCACCAACACCCTGCAACACAACGCCCCAACCTGAGGCAAGTCGTGAAGTGGAGGGCTCTTTATTTTCACAATAAAACACTTAAGACCTAGTCTGAAAAAAACCAGGCTTAAAACATTCTAAAACCTTAATCCGGGCTTATAATTGTAAATTAATTTCAGAAGCCCTGGGATTGGTAAGAATAAACTGCATATTCTGACAAGACTGGACACTGTTGTCTTAAAAATCACATGTCCATCCTGGGACTAAGCAACTCAAGGATGTGTCGGTCCTGTTCCTTAACGGAAGAAACGCCTTTGCACATCCACTGATTATGGAGTCTTAATGCACAAACGTTACACTCATCTGGGAAACTATGTACTTTGCCCAGAAGTGAAATTGCTCACAGCTAACTCCTTCTATTCATTGAAGACGTGGGGCTTAGTAGTGAATTATAGCCATAGCTGCGATCACAATAGATCACAATAGGTCTTATAGGTATCTGGTCGACATGCATAGTTGCTCGCACAGAAAAAAATTAAAAGAAAAAGTTACATGGTTTACCATTACAGCCTAACAAATATTTTAACAAATAGAATATTTTTTAAGCAATATTATTTTTTTTTGGGGAGCTTACATTTACTGTCTAGATCACTTTAACTTTAACACTTTAACTTATATGCCAATGAAAGCTTCCACATATACGCGTAATACATTCACAAGAAATCATTACTCAGACACACTTTATGAAATATATTGTAAGAGTAGTTTTAATGTTTGTAGTACTATAACAAAATAGGTCTAAATCGTTGTTTTCAGAATACATTTTACTTTTATGTGCTTACTTTTTTGCCCTTATATGTGTTCACCCAGAAAATTATGTGTAATTGGTACCATTCGAATTTTTCTTATTTTTTTGCACAAAAATGATCTATACTTCTACTTTGAAACCAAACACCTCTCAATATAAATGACAAGCCAAACAGGCGTACAATTTTTTAAAATCACGGAAATAATGATAATTTTGATGGTTTGTCATTTCAAAATTGTAATATTTAAAATCCCTAACAAGTTTCAAATTACATAAATTGGCGAAATTATTAAAAATTAGGAAAAGAAAAAAGAAATTTATGGACGTAAAACATAAATTTCCAACATATTTAGGCGAATTTTGACGGAGTTTTACCAATTCGCCGTCATACCAAATAGACGAAAAAATAATAACCAAAAAAAATGTTATAGAGAAAATAACTTAAAATCAATCATCCAATAGTAACTAAAGTCTAAATATATGACCACATGCAAAAACAGAACGAGCTTGCAAAATCACAAGAAAAGTTATTAAGTTTTTTGTGTCTCCTGAAAAGTAACGGTTTTGTAGATACGCCCCTATGGCTTGAGACCCGCGATATTATAATAACCCTTTTTATACAGTTTTTGTTTAATTAAATATTTAAACTTGGTATTAGAGAGACCTTGAATATTTTCTAGGACTTTGTTGTAATAGCGTATACATTGCCCCAAGAACGAATTGACTTTGTGGAGTCAAAAAACTCATATCACTTATTTGTGATTGTTCCTAAAGTTTACAGTGTGTATACCACTTTTTTTTACTAAAACTACCCTTGTTTTTTGAACATATTATAAATTTTCGTAAACATACTGAGGCCAAAGTTAATATATTTATTTCTTTAAATTTTTCTCTAACAGAAGCTCTCGGTTTTAGGTTTTAAATAGCTCTTACCTACTTCCTGCAAAACAAAAATAATTTCTAAATCAGCCGCGTTTCCCCATAGCAAAATCCCATAGAACACAAAATAACAAATAAACTTCTGTCTCAACAGTAGATCTCTCATCTTTTTTACATAAGCTGCAGAGCTTAGTCTGCTTGCTGGTTTGCATATATGGGGGTCCCACTGAAGCTTTGCGTCACTGCTGTTGCTGAGTGATGCCAAGAAAAACAGAGGATTGAACAGGGCTCAGTTCTTCCCCATGTAAAGACACTGGTATTCAGATTTTTAATATTTGCTGTCATAAACTTAATACATTTAGTTATATTGCCATTTAAATGTAGATTATTAACATTAATGCACTAATTTTGATATAGCATTATTCACTTTGTCACATTTAAATGATTGACATTCAAGTTTAAAAATCAAGGAATTATCATCAACAAATAACTAATAGTATATCATGATCATCCCCAACAAGGGAAGGTAAGTCATTAAATATACACTAAAAATAGGAATAGGCCAAGCATTGAACCTTGAGGGACACCCATTTGTACGGGCGACCCGGAAGAACTATGTATTAAAATCACAATCCCAAGCCGTGCGATTTATATAGAAGTTTACTTCTACGAATGCTAGATGACCTAAGGACTACAATAGATTATCATTTTACAGTAAAGGTTTCTGTCGCTCACCATATGAAACATTGGAAATTATACTGTTATTTCACACTTTGCGAGCATGGTTGTGGTATCGAAAAAGGAGATTTAGGAAAATGCCTGCTATGACAGTTATATCTCTATCGCACTATGATAATGTAGTAACTGTCTCATATTAATACCAAACATAAAATAGCCAGACCAATGATAGGAAGCAACATCAAATATGCTAACCAAATGAGAAATACATGTTTATGGCGTGACAGGATGATAAAATCTCGAAAATGAACAAAATGAACTGGGCCAAAAGTGGGAAGCATCATTCTAGGCCTAACATAAGATACAGTAACAACTGAAAATAGCAATCAGCCCAAGTCATACCAAACAGCGTTATAAATTATCATGATGATTTTCATAAATTATCCGATAATTTCTGATAATTATTCAATAATTATCCAGTTATTATCATCCAGAAATACAATCCGTAATAAAGGTATTTTTCTTTTATTTCAAATTAAAAAACTTTGTTTGATACAATCAACAATAACAAAATTTAAACAAATCAACATTATTATTATACATGCTGTAGACTTTACGCACAATATCACACACAGGAATAAACATTATTATCATTGATAATTAGCAGTACATAATTGTGCAACCCTGACACCAAATAGTGAGTGCCAGAAATCCACAATTAACGTATTGGAAAACAAGTCTCTTGACCCAATCCTATTAAATTTAATTCAAGAATGCATGGAGATAATTGATATATATTTTTCTACTTATAATCCACTATCCCATGAGTGTTGTATAAGGTGACAGAGGGACAGGAGATGGGCAGTAGTACCTTCCTAATAACAGCCCAAAATAATTAAAAAAAAACTGCAGTTACCAACCTATATCTGCCAAGCATGGTAACTATGGCAAATATTTTCCCTAATAGGTAATTTTCCGTAGTAGGTCTATGGAGGGATGCCTATGTTCAACCGTGAACTTATGATGAGCCTGTAATTAATGAATGACATATGATATTTACTTACTGTTTCCAAAGTATCTTCTAGATTCTTCACACAGTCCATAGATTGTTTATTCAGTCTCATTACAGTTTCATAATTATCTTTAAGAACTTCTATTTCTTTCTCCTTATTTCTTATCAATTCATTATGTTCTGATAGAGATTTTTGAATACTGTCCTGTAGTTCCTTCTTCTCTCTTGTAATCTGCTTACACTTCTCCTGATAATCATGTGCCAAGTCCAATGCTTTGTATAGCTCCGCTTCAAAGTGACTGGTTTTCTGAAGAGATATGAAATGTTGATGTTGGTATTTATCAAGTCTAATATATAATTTGAAATCACATACCACACTGCAGGTTGGTGGGTTAAGAGAATCCATAACTCCACTTCTGTGCATGCACAGTACTATGGGAAGTACCATAAAAATTATATCATAGATGTATTACTTCTTTTACATAAGACGTAAAATACCCAGACTAGTAACAATAACAGCGTCAAAAGTGCTCAGGTCGGTGTAACAATCGTCAATTCTCCTACCAAGTGTAATGATTAAGGCAAATACTTCCCGCAACGTTAGAGGCCTATGTCCACTGTCCAGCAATGGGCCTACAGGCCGATGAAGAAAGAATTTAGGTGTTATAAAATAGTACCTTCTGAGCTTCATCAGCAACCATTTTGAAATTATCCACTTCCTTGACCATCTTCTCAAGAGCAGCTCTGTGTCTTTCTTCTGCACGATCTAAGCTATGAGTGAGCCTTAGCCAGGCTTCTCTGAGTTTTTTAATAGCAGTATCTTTGCCTCGGTCAACTTTTATCGCAACAGCTAGTTTTTCCTGCTGCTCCAGAATCTTCCTTTGCAGTTGCTGGATCATGACTTCACAATGCTAGCAAAAACATTAGTTTAAGAATTTTTTATTAAATTAGATTGATAAAATTGACTTTGCATATTATTAACCCATTAACGGCGGAATTTTTGTCATGTCTTGGATTTTTGTGATTCTTAAATATTTTAACATTTATAACAACCTTAACATAAAATCAAGGTTTAAAAAAATATGCATATTATACTTTTGGAAATATCAGGTGATGCCAAATTGCACCGCGAGCCTAATATAGTAGGAAAAATAAATTAAACTCATACTTTTTAAATCAAGCTTTATTCGAATAAAAAGTAAGTATTACAGAGCATTATTAGGAAAAAAGGTTAAACATTACAAAATGTTAAGTTAATTAAACCGTATAGATTTTCCGCGCAAGAATTGTTTACATCCATGCCTGCCATAGTACTCGATCATAGTTTCATCATAGTTCAGATTTGGGTTTGGTACGTACTTATTGCAAAATTTTTGTTTCAGCATATTTATCAGAGGTCTTAGCTTCCACATTTTATCTGAAGAATCTATATTGGTATTATCAGCACAATATAAGAATCTCACAATTGTTCTGAACCTATCTCTTCGCATACAATTGTATATCAGATTGTTCCTCAAGTCGTCTCCTTGGTCCCAGTAATGATGTATTGATGGAACAGTATTATATCCAGAATTGACAAGGATCGCAACGAAAGCTTTCATTTCATCAACCGAAACTTTTGGATTCGGGCAGGTTAGGAAGGCAGCATACTTCCGAGATTCAGTTACTAGAAATTCATAAAAAGATGCATCCAAAATAACTAACATTTCGATTGAGACTTTCCCCTAAATGCTTAGAGATTAGGAATACATCTTCCTCGAAAAAACCCTTAAACTAATAAACCAGCCATCACACCAAACTTCGGGCAGAATCGAAATGCATCCAAAAATCTAATCGAGAGACTTCCCCTAAATTTGCTGTAGTGAGGATTAGGAAATATCAGTCTTGACTCACACAAATCTTTTTGAAGCCAGGTTTGAGAAGAACTCCTTAATTTTTTGGCAAAGGCTCATCATCATCCTTCGAATCGTCAGACGAAGTAGTCTGGGATAGTTCTTCTGACATAGCATTTTTGTTTTGAATACCGCGAGATCCACTGCGACCACCTCACCCTCGACCTCTCGCTTGACCACAACCTCGAACAGGAAACCTCCCACAACTGGCTGATGAGACGTCTAGAGACTCATTCGGTACTTTGCTACCACATTTAGTGCCTTTTGAGTTTTTAGATGTATTTTTCTTTGACGTTAATACTACTTTACATTGTGCACTAAGTTGACGACCAGAGAAATTGTTAATCAAGCCTGATTGATCTTCATCTGCCGAGTCTTCATCGTTATACATGGCTGGATTTGGAGGCTCAATGAAAATACAAAACGGCTCCAAATCTTCATCATCTTCAAGAGCTGCATGTGCATCATGTAGTGCACAGCTCCTAAAATAACAAAAAATGTTTCATTACGACTTCGAATAATACACCAGTTATTGATAAATCAAAAATGTATTCATAGTTAATATTTGATCACATATTCGGCTACTGATGCAATTTGGCATCACTCACATTTACCATGCTATATAATGTAAACAGATACAATAGTTATGTGAATTTAGATGAAAGATTAATATAAGAATATGATACAATACTCAACATACATTCACATTCATAAATAATTAAATTATTAAAGACTTACTTGATAGGAATGTCCATTTTGCCGTTCGTTTTTCAACACTGAAGTTTGAAATGTTGTTTTGTCATAATTCTTAATCGTGATTGGCTAATATCAATATAAAATGACAGCCCGAACTTTTTTCTTATGTCTCTGTGATTGGTTATTTGATTAATTGAGTATAAACAAAAAATAACCGCGAAAATTCAAATGCAGTTTAGTGATGCCATACTGCACCGCACGCTGTTAATGGTTAATTAGGTCATTTTCCAAAGTTCTATTAAAAATGGTGGATTTTCTTACTGTAGGCTTTATACTTTTCTGGGTAGGGTTGGATCTATATGATGATTGTAGCACAAATTATTTAGCTCGATCGGGGAAGGACCATAATCACACAGAATAATACTGTGAAATAGCTTAGTGATCTGTATGGTGAGTGTAGAGAACCAAGAAACTCTTTTACTGGTAGTGAGATATTCCACCTTAGTCCTCAGGAGAGCCAATGCTTTGATTCTGAGTCTGAATGTAGATGTCTATAGGTCAAAGCACTCATTTACCACCAGGTGGACTGTGTATGCTCATATGTCACCCTCATTCTATAAAAATGAATTCTTAAGGATTAAAAACAGAATTCAATTAATTCATACCTCTCTTTTAAGTTTTTCTTCCTCTAGCTTTAAGCTCTCTGCTCTTTCAAGCCTTTCTCCCCTTTCACCCCACAGTTCACTTAAGCTTAACAGATCTGTATCTATTGAATCCATCTGGAAAGCTGTCATTTTGTCTTTTATATTTGTAAAAGGTTTCATTTGCGGCATTTTAAATTCTCCATTGTTTGATAAATATTCATTAGTGTCTGTTGCAGAAGATGCTGTATTCTGGGAATAGCTTTGAGCTTTAAACTGTTCTAACACCTTTGATGCTCTATCATAAATTTTATTTGAAGATGGCTTAAATGTTTCCAAATAACTTGAGTTCCGTGAGTATTTTTTTGGAGTTGATGTAGGCTGAGCATCATTACCCTCGGAAAAATTTAATTTTCTCATACTCAAAGATTTTTTGTTTGTTTGTGTTTCCTGATTAGTTCCTTGCATTGGTGGATGATTATTTACAGAACTCTCTAGTACCACATCATTCTTGAACAATGAAACTTTGTCCTTTTGTGAGTTATTATTCTTAACTAAATAAATATATTTATCTAAAATATCATTTGTAACCTTCCTTCCACTTGGTAATTGAATCTCATTATCACCGTTGCTTGCTTCTAATTGTTGAGCTATATAGTTACCAGCTGCTCTAATAACATTTTCAGAGCTAAATTTTTCTTCATCCTTACATCTTGTTTCTGGACTCTCATACGCTTCAACTTTAGTTAAAAACTCATCTATTTCAGTCAATAGCAGCTTGTCATTATTCTTACTTGGTGTTGATACTATACTACTTATATCGCCGTCCATGCTTTGTGTATCATTTATAAGTTGTGGAGTATACAACTTTGCACAATTTCTTAGCTTCAATGACGGAAAACTGTTACCATGTGTACTTATAGAATCATTACTAGTCAAAGACAAATCTCTTTTGATACGTCTAGAAATCTTGCGACGTCTTCTGCGAGGAAATGTATAACATTTACGATCGAGACTTCCACATCCGAAACTGTCGTTTTTCCAAGATAAACTTCTTACAGAACCCGCACTAGAAAACGTGTGACTGGTGTTTAATTCTAAAGTATCTAATCTAGTTTCTAGTGAATGCACTTGGTTAACTAATTTGCCTAATACTTGTGCCGTACAAGAAACCGGTTTGTGTACAACTGTTCTTGAAGACTGTAGCAAAGAGTCATCAGAATCCGAGCTGCAGACAAGGAAAAAATTCGGCGGTATAAGCAGAAGAACATCTGTATCATCCGTCTCACTCATCACAAAACTTGAAATATTTTTGATAATAGGAATTTCGGGCCATTACGTTATTTTGTAAAATAAATAATGATTAAATTTTTAATGTTGATATCTGATTGAAAGGATATTGAAATTATAAATTACATATTTAAAGAAATAATTACATTAATGAATACTTTGATCAAATCAAGCTCAACACAACTCTCATATATATAAAACATAGGAACACAAGCACAACAAATCAAAAACATTTTTTTTTCATAAATGCTTTTACATCCAAAGAGAATATAACATAGACGTATATAAAGTCTATGGATTTTTTTTTATTAACTGGCTTTACGGCTCTGGTTTCTAGACCGTCTGAGCCTATCCTTTTTTTGGAATCTTCATTTTATATTCTTTTTCTTCACAATATGCTGATGCCTCACATCGCGAAGCCCTTGGGAGGAAACCTAGCGACAATTGATGACGACAGCCACTCATAAGACGCCCAAGCGATAAAATAACTTGAGGTTTATATCGACATCGAAGCACTTGTTTCGTCGTTTCTCTAATATTTCACACGCACAGATACTTAATTCACAAAATCAAATCACTTTTACGAAACAATATCCACTTCAAACCGTTATTCAAGCGACAAAACAGGAGCGACAATCCGTCTACAGCCAAGTTCCCGCCAAAACTCCCAAAAAGTCTATGGAATATAATCACTAGAAAATGGAGATTAGAGAACCACAAACTAATAAGAGTTAGAGAACAGGAGAACGATCGCTACGTACTAAGGCATAGCCCGCCTGTCCCTGAAAATTTGTAGAATTTAAAGCCGTCGGCAAGTAATGTCTGCGAAGTAATTTTTAAATTTTTGACAAAATGAAACATTAAAAATGGTGAAATATTATAAATAATAATAATAATAAATCAATAATAATTAGTAATCAATATTTGTAATAATTTATAATATTTATAATAATTCAAATTATTGAAACAACTATGAGATTGCAGCGCCTCACTTATTTTGACCATATTTCTGGACCACTATTTTATACAGCGATCGTTCTCCTGTTCTCTAAAGACTAAGAGGCGGCACTTCCTTAGTAAAACTAAATGTATGAAAGGGCACCAACCACAAATTATAAAGTTGTATGGCGCCAAGCTACTCTACCAAAATCGTAAACAGAGAATATTATAGACACCGGCAAAGCGTGTCGCAAAAAGAGAAAAAAAATAATAAGTCATTATATTTAGGGTTAGTATTAGTATTATTAGTAGGTTGTCGTAAAGCGACAATTAAAAAACTAAAAAACCTAACCTAACAACAACGAAACAACAAAAATAGAACAAAAACGAATAATTTATTTAAAATTTTAAAAGATATTTACAGTTTTATATAAAAAAAATATGAAGATGATGATGGGTGACGTGAATTACAATTTAAAAAAAAAAAAAAATAAATATAAGTGAGTACTGAAACGGAGCCCGAAGACCAAAGTGGCACACCGCGCTTGGCAGTGGTGCACACCGCTCACGGAGTATGCACAGGCTATGCCCGTGGTAGGTGCGCAGCGCCTGATCTAGGCACACGCAGCGTCTGGAGAAGGCACACGCAGCGCTTGGAGTAGGCACACGCAGCGTCTGGAGTAGGCACACACAGTGCCTTGGTAGATGTTCTCAGCGCCTGAAGTAGGCGCTCGCAGCGCCTGGAGCAAGCACGCACAGCGGCTAAAGATAGCGAGGCCACTAGTAGGTGGAGGCGTACGCGTGGCTAGGCGACGACTTCAGATGAAGGCAGAGGCTTGCAGGATACCGGGGCAGTGCGGCCCCGGGATACGGCATTTAGGAGATGCTTCTAGTTTGAAAGCTGAAGCGAGACTGCCTTTATTGGCCGATTGTTCGGCTTTTATACTTTTTTTAGAGAGCTCCGCGCTCGACGACGGATCTGAGATAAGAATGGGAAATTATTTAAATTGAAAGCAAATTTTTGTAAATGGCCAAGAAGAAAAGAGTATTTTTGTGGAAGTTTTGAAGTAAAAACATCAGACCGGTAACGAATTTGATATAAAAATTGCCATGACAACCAGATAAACAACGATGTCAAAACATGTCAAATTTTGGTTTCAGGGTCGTAATAGAGAAACGGCAAGATTTAAGTGAAAAATGAGATATTATTGATATAGAAAAAAAGGTAGCCCAACAGCGCGCACGAAGCCCGAAATTGCAGAGTTACGGAGAACTAAATAAAAGATCGAAAAAGGTAAACTCCATCGACACCGATTTAAAAAGTGCTGATAGCGTGAAAATACGAAGTGAAAATGATTTGTTATTGTGTTCTTATGGTTTAAAAACGTTACAGAATCCTATGGAAATAAAGGTGATGCAAAATATCCAGTTTTGAGGTGAATGCAGAAAATCAAAAACAGAATGGAAAAATAAATTTAAAATAGTGTAAAATGATATGTAAATAGCATAACACTACAACGTAAAGAAAGCTTGAAAAGAGACACTGCTATTACCGATGATCATCGATAGGTATAGGCGTGCGATATGAAGGAGAAGACATGCTGTCAAACTCAAATCAATTGCGATGAGGACGGGAAGGTGAGGATGGATGATGATGATGACGTCAGAAATCAGAAATCAGAAATATTTATTGACCATAATATAATAATCGTTACAGGCAAGTCATTGGTTACAAAAGTTTTTATAAATTTATAAGATTAAATTATATTATTGTATCTTAATTTAGTTACATTGACGCTTTATATATATATATAAATATATATATATATATATATATATATATATATATATATATATATATATATATATATATATATATAAAGCGAAACCACTGTCATTATTTGGTCGTTCTTAAAATGTTTTCTTGCTGGGCTACTTTTTTTTTTAGACCATTGATTATTCTTATAGATTGTTTTGGACATTTTAAAACTTTTATAACATCCGGAGCATTACCCCAAATAGTAATGGCATATCTTATTACAGAATGAATGTAGGCATAGTACACAGATATGAGTGTCTTTTTATCTAATAATAGCTTTAGCTTAAATAATGCGTAATTACCGCTAGCTATTTTCTTACAATTTTTTTCAATATGAGCTTTATGGTTTATTGTGCTATCTACTGTATACCCTAAAAATACATTTTCTTTTGTATTCGAGTTATCACGAATGCCTAGCCTCGGTTGGTAGTGCATTACAATGCTTTTATTAGAATTTAGAATAATACCATTTGCGCCAAGCCATTCTTTTAGCAAGCTCATAACATTGTTAATTTTATCGTCTAAATTTGAGAGACATTTATCTCTCAAATCAATATGTGTATAATCTGCAAATAAACTTAAATATGTATAATCTGGTATTGCATTGCCAAGATCATTAATATAGATCAAAAACAAAACAGGACCCAAGATCGAGCCTTGTGGTACTCCAATCGACACGTAACTCGCTAAAGAAGTTTGCTCATTTACTGAAACAATTTGGTTACGGTTACTTAAATAAGTTTTGATCATATTTAGTTCAGCTCCTTGAAAACCATAATACTGCAATTTTAATATCATTACATCATGTCGCAAGCAATCAAAAGCATTTCATAGGTCACAAAAGACACTGGCACATCTATTGGAATTGTCCAAAGATTCTAGAATGAAGTAAATTACTTTTCTTATGGCCATTACGGTTGATCATCCTTTTCTAAATCCAAATTGTGCCGTTGTAATTAAATGATTTTCTTCAAAGTAACTTACAATTCAATATTTTATAATTTTAGGCTTCTAATATTTTTGATAAAGTCGGTAATATACAAACTGGCCTGTAATTACTGAGCTCTGTGGAATCCCCTTTTTGGAAAAGTGGAATTACCCTACCCGGTTCGAGTACGTCGGGGAATATGCCATTAACTAAGCAGAAATTGACAACAATAAATAACAACTCGAATAAATTATTGTTCTTTCTAATAAGATTTCTTAATGTTCTAGTGTTCATATCGTACCTAAATGTCTAACGTAGATTTTTGCTTCATACTAGTAACAACCTTTTTTAGCTCTGTATAATCTAATGGGTAAAAAGATGTGGTTCTAAATAACTGCGATTTCTTATGTTCTGGCTTCGTGAGTTAATAATACAAAACATGTATTAAAAATAAAATTTTATTAATTACTGTCCTTTAAACAAAACGAGCTTCGTATGAAAGTTTCTAATTTTTTGCTTGGGTTCAAATGCTTTTGTTGCGTGATGTATACCATGACCACCCAAAGTTACCCCATAGTTCGACATATCTAAACATTTTGTTCCATCCCATTAGACGTGTCTCCTTATAGCCATTTCACCCATGCTTACTGCACAATACAGTTCGGATTTTTTGTTATTTGAGGGTGTCCGTACCCAAAGTCAACGCCAGCTGGAGACGGACCAGATACCATTACGTCACGTCAAAGACGTCGGAGGGCCAGCCACCGGCCACGGAGGCCGGCCCGTCAGTAGCTCTTACATCTGCAGCACCTGACTTAGGTGCTCAGATGGTGATACTGCAGTAGCAGGCTCGCCGACAGGAGGAACAGGCCCGTTGGTTGAAAGAGCAGCAGGAGGAACAGGCCCGCCAACAGGAGGAACAGACTTGCCGACAGAAGGAACATGCCCGCTGACAGGAGAAACAGGCACGCTGACAGGAGGAACAGGCCCGTGGATTGAAAGCAGGAAGAACAGGCTCGTCGGTTGGAAGAGCAGCTCCAATGCGATCAGGAAGAGCAGATGCTCCTCATGAAGGACCTTCACGCTACCTTCAGGAAAGAAATAAGGTAGGTGAAGTATAGTGTTGCTCAATATGACAACCACCTGTCAGAAGCTGAAACCCAAATCGACCAAGTGAACAACGTGATGGTCAAAATGAAGAAAACGCTGGACGTCCTCAAACTTGGGTATGGAATTACAACTCCCGTAGTAGATATAACACCTTCGCTACGTGAATTCAAAGTGCCGCCGTTCGACGGGACTTCTTCATGGTCGGCC